CAACTACTACGATGATGGATGATTGGATGATGTTGTGTTGTTGGTTTGTTTGTTGATACTTAAACAACACAGCATCATTCTGGTGTTTTTCCATGGGCAACTTATATTTGTGACCCTGAGCAATCACTGACCACTCTTTTTTTTACTATGGGAATTAAATTGGCAATGGAACAGTTTAAAAGTTAAAAAGTCTAGGCCTACCTACCAGCTACACTTATAATAGTACCCCGTTTAGTTACACCATTGATATCTATTTTAACAGAGGCTCCGGTAACTTTTCTTCTTGGACCGTTAATATCAGCTATATTGAATATTTGACATGATAGACTTTCTCGAAATGCTACCAAACCATATCGTGACACTGGAAATACAAATATATTTATGGGATGAAAATAAAGGGCTTAAAAATCCTGCATAAAATTATTTCAGAGCGTATTCTTTCAATATTATGACATTTTAACAATGAAATTTTTATCAAAAATGGTATTCTTAGGTCTTCGGGAGGTAGTGCCCAAATATGGAGCGGCCACTGTATAGTAAAAATCAGAGCTCTGGGAAAAATGTACTTCATAAGTTGTCAAACCATACCCTATATTAGAAGAATATAAGAACTAAGTTAGCTAATGAAAGGGAATTACTGGTCATTGAATATGAAAAAAGGAATTGAAATAGGCCCTATGAGGATATGCTTTCTTTTAAAAGGTTTTACAAGAGGACTTGTATTTACATGTATTGAACCAGATACTTTGAAAATTACAATACTAATGCCATAACTTTCAAACGAAATAATAATCTCTAATTAACATTTATAAAGGCGTTTCGGAGGTTTCCTTTGCTGTCTTCAGACATAGCAGTGGGAAAACACGGCAAAACCTTGTCATAAATTTTAGATTTATCATAAAATGGGAAATAACTCTAGTTTTCTTCCAAATATGATACCACACTTAAATAACATACAGAAGTTAAAATTACTGGTATCCTACCTTTTGTCGTCATCTGCTTTCTTGAATCCATTTTAGAATATTGATCATGTTTAAAATGGGGAAGTGAATTTTATTAATTCAAATTGTCAAGGTGTTAAAGAGATTTAGGGGCGATGTTGGATGTCAGTTAATCTGAAATCGGCGAGTCAGTCTGGATTAAGAGACACGTGCGGATTAAAGACAGGAGTGGATTGACTGCCAACAATAGAATAGTGACAGTAGGAATGATAAGGGTGTTAGATGGTGATGAGAACAAATTTCTCACACTAACACTGGCCTAAATAACTAAATAGAGGTGGATATGCTATGATTAGTTCAGCTGTCAAACGATGGTTGTATATTCCGGGCGGGAGAATGTTCAAGGCTCCCAAAAATTTGCCAGAGTTAGAAAACAATGGCTGCAAAATGTCGCTGGAAGCGAACTTTAACTTGTCATCTACCTATCATGTCTGAATGGGAATAACTTTTATTAGAATTAAAGTTAGACAGTTGGATGAAGATCTTGGCAGAACAAATCATGACGTCTTAGTTATAGCTTTTTATTGAGTTCAAGAGAGCTGAGTAGGCTCAGATTGATATAAATAGCCACAAGCAGGCCCTTAACCAGCCCAATGTGCCAAAGGGGGGAGGGGGAGCACGAGGAGCACATTCTGTATAGGGAATCAGTTTATTGTCCCATCGGAACGACTAGAGACTGTCAAGGGGAAATCGGGTATAATGACAGGATTGAACCTTTAGGCACTTTAAGTCTCCTGTACAAAAAGAGGTGGGATAAGTTTAATACAATGCTTGTTATGTTGAAGAAGGTGCATAAATCTTTTTCTATATATTACATAAAGTACTAATATATATTTTTTTGGTATGGGCTTTTGTCCCAGGGTCTTTTGTCCTGGTGCAAAATTGCAGAGTGGCTTTGTCAGCAGGAGCTTTTTCCATTTAATATAATTCAGACATTTTGATAATTATTAATATATAAATTATATAATATCTGTATGTTTTGACATACATAGAATAAAAACCTCATAACAAATCAATCACATAAAAATATACACAATGAAAATGACTAAAAATTTCAAAACTAAAATCACTATGACACTATATATAACATAAACAATAGTTAAAATTTAATCCATTAAACAATGAAATTAACAATTTTGAAAAATAAAACACTAAAAATCAAAACTAAGAAAATATCATTTTAGGAATTGAGTTTCCATGTATGTTTAATCAAACTGATTCAAAAAAAATGTTTTTCTGTAAATGAAATTTTGATCATATGATTTGTTTGATCATGATTGTACTCTTTTTCATATATTAGTACTATAAATAAATGAGAAAATATATCTGAAAGGGGTTTTGCCTTCTAAATATTTTCTTATACTGATAGCTGTTATTGGTATATATCACCTGATAAAGCAAAAATTTTGATAATTAGACCCCTAACATATTTTATGATAAATTCAATGTACATCAATATACTGCAAAAGAAGTTAAACAAGATCATCAAAAATTGTTTTTAAACATTTGAATTATCACAATTTATATTGACTGATTTCAAAGGGATTGTAAAGAAAGTGTTTGATGACATCACTAATCACGAATGGCTAATGTGATGCAAGCATATTTTATGATTGGTGACATCATCAAACACTTATTTTTGGTGGAATTGCACGAACCACAGATGTCTGTCTGAAAATTGGAATGGTGCAAATTGATGGAATCAGTGTCCTCGATACACATAAATTTTAAACCTCTTTACAATCCCTTTCATATGAATCACTTTTAGATGCCAGCTCCTGCCGTTTCTACTTTAAAACCAAATGTACATAGAAATTGGAGAAAAAAGTTGACAGCCCAAACGACTGGGTACAGCCATTTTATATCACTAGATAACAAGAGAGCACCAACAAAAGGAGTGATCAAGCCAGGAATTTCAATGATAATATTAGCCCAGCCCATTGCTGTACTTCTTATTTTGGTCGGATAAATTTCAGGAGTAAATGCATTTAAAATGGAATATATAGGTACCATGAAAAAATAACATACTATAACAATAACTGCTTTTAAAAAATCTACAGGAATAAAGGCAAATAAAATCAATGATATGGAAGTCGCTATGGAAAAAAGTTTTAGGCATTTTATTCGGCCTAACATATGTTTTTCTATTAAAATCATGGCCAAAACTAGTCCAGGAAGTTCTCCTATAAAAATAGTGAACATGTTAAAGTATGAGTCAACTCCTAAGGAAGCTATATATTCTGGCAAGTAAATAGTTACACCCCAGTATCCAGTAGACTGAAAACACCACACCAGCGATACTACTAGAGTTCTAGCACGTAAATCTTTAGAAAATAGTTCACTAATATGACCTCTATCTTTACTCTTTTCACAAATTATATTTTCTGAAAAAAAAATACATTTAAAATATGTTTAAAAAATTGTAATAAAAATGTTTTGAAAAAATGGTCTTTCAGGTATAGAGAGGTAAGAGATTTGGAGGAATAAGCAAGGTTTGAAATTTGGAGAAATAATCTAGGTTTAAGATTTGGAGGAATAACCAAGGTTGGAGCTTTAAAGGAATAACCCTGGTTGGAGCTTTAAAGGAATAACCAAGGTTGGAGCTTTAAAGGAATAACCAAGGTTGGAGATTTGGAGGAATAAGCAAGGTTTGAAATTTGGAGAAATAGTCTAGGTTTAAGATTTGGAGGAATAACCAAGGTTGGAGCTTTAAAGGAATAACCAAGGATGGAGCTTTAAAGGAATAACCAAGGTTGGAGATTTGCAGGAATAACCAAGGTTGGAGCTTTAAAGGAATAACCAAGGTTGGAGATTTGGAGGAATAACCCAGGTTGGAGATTTAAAGGAATAACCAAGGTTGGAGATTTGTATGAATAACCAGGTTGGAGATTTGGAGGATAATCAAGGTTGGAGCTTTAAAGGAATAACCAAGGTTGGAGATTTGGAGGAATAACCCAGGTTGGAGATTTAAAGGAATAACCAAGGTTTGAGATTTGTATGAATAACCAAGGTTGGAGATTTGTATGAATAACCAAGGTTGGAGATTTGTATGAATAACCAAGGTTGGAGATTTGTATGAATAACCAAGGTTTGAGCTTTAAAGGAATAACCAAGGTTTGAGCTTTAAAGGAATAACCAAGGTTGTAGATTTGTATGAATAACCAAGGTTGGAGATTTGTATGAATAACCAAGGTTGGAGATTTGTATGAATAACCAAGGTTGGAGATTTAAAGGAATAACCAAGGTTGGAGATTTTTACAGGAATAACCTAGTTTAAGATTTTTAGGAAAAGCCTAGGTTGGAGATCTGGAGGAATATCTAGTTCTGAGATTTGGAGGAATAATCCAGGTTGGAGATTTGGAAGAATAACACAGGTGGGAGATTTGGAGAAATAACCAAATTTGGAGATTTGGAGGAATGTTTTTCAGCCAATGCTAGGATCAATGGTCTAAGCAGCATCTATTGTAAAATCAAAAATGTATCCAAACCTGTTGATAATTCAGATCCATTTTCTTTGGCAATTTTCCTCAAAACTTTGATGGCCTGTTCTGTTTTACCACTTATAAATAGGTATCTAGGAGATTCATATCTAATCAGTAATCTTAGTAGAAATATAATAATAGAAGGGATTGCAGCAGCCCCAACAAACCATCTCCAGCCCCACTGTGGTAATATCAACCAGGCCAATCCACCAGTTAATACTGCTCCTACAGCACCAAAAAATGTGATGGCTACCATCATGGCACCACGATTTCTTGGTGGTAAAAATTCTGAAATATAAGTTTATCAATCAATATATTTACACTGCCATAAAGCAAGACAATGCCAACCAAGTGCGGTGTGAAATTAGCTGCTGCTTAAAGACTACAGTCTCTATCATGTTTAAAAAGCAAGGGCAATAACTTAAAAAACCCTCATATTGAAATTGAAAGCATCTGAGAACCAACAGTAACCACAAACCCACTAAGTTTTGTCAAGATGGGATCAAGTCTCTTATCAATTTCACAATAAATGGAATTGGACCAACAAGTGTAGGACAATATGTCCACATTATGCTATATAATGTTAAGCAACTACAAAGAAAAGTGACATAGAATATCAACTGAATATCATGTGTGTCTGTCCATGAGAGGTCTTTTTTCGGAGCATTATACAAACGACCAGGAAAGAACAGCCTGTTAAACAGTTCAGTATCTTGTATCCATATTATTTATGGTGCCATACCTAATAATAGTACAAAATCCACTGCTTCTAAACCACCAATTCCAAAAGATACCATAGATCTAATAGCCACTAACCATTCAAATGTGTGTGCAAATGCTGATGCCACACCAAATATACAACATATTCCAATTGATATTATGAAGGGCATTTGTCTCCCAAATCTATCACTGATAGTTCCAAATATATAACCTCCTATAATGCCCGCTATTCCACTAAAGAACGGTAACCATGGATACTCATATTGACTTAAATTCCACTCTTTTGTCGCAGGTCCACTAAGATAAACAAATACTAAAATTTCTGAACACACAGCAAAATATCCTCCACCACATAATAATAACATTTTATATTGAAACTTTCCTAATTTCAATTCAGATAAAATATTATCCAGATTTTTTCTGCCACCATCATTCTGGCCTCTTTTTTCTATTTCATTTACTTCAGGTATTTCATTAAATTCACATGTATTGTTGGTACTTGTGTTATTACATAACATTTTTACATTTGGTTTACTTAAGTCAGTTAATTCAAGGAATGATGTATCAATATTTCCATGAAATTCAGTATCCCCTTGTTCATTAGTCACCATTCTATGTGATAAACTAAAGCTACATGTAAGTTATTTCGAGATAATTATATTGTACCATTCAAATGTAAGAAATATTATCACTTTTCCATTAACGATCTACCATTTGCTCTACGTCTGTTAATGTATAATAATAGTTGAAATATTTCATGTAAACCTCGTGTGTCGGGTGGGTGTGTCCTTCTGTCAATTAATATTGTAGTTGTAGAAAGCGTTAAGGACGCCCGTCATTTGGATACATCTTTTAATAACTTGACGTGAAATATAAAATAGGGCATTTGGTTTGCATATCTCTTATTTAGCAAACTCTCCATAAAAGCTCGGTGAAACGGTTAAACTTCAATCGATGGGCAAAAACACTGTCAATACAAATCCAAGCTGTCCTAATTCGGTTTACACCGTCGGCCTAATGTCAAAAAAAAGATCGCCTTTCTCATGATCTTATAACTTATTCAAAGTTTTATGTCGACACAACCGTCTTTACTAGTGGTGTAAAACATTTTATTCCTACTTGAAGTGAATTCAAGGGTTGCCAAACAATTTGTGTACAAAATTAAATATTAATATCATTCCACTGTAAAAGGAGTATACGAAGGTGTCCCAAAGCGACCGACTGGATAATAGAACATACATTAGTCTGTCCAATCAAAATTAAAGGATTTGGATTGTCTTGTAAACTTCGACTACCCACGTGTTGTGGAATTCATCGTGGTGTTGTTATTTTTTTCAATAAAAATACAAATTTGAGCCTTCAATAGAGATTCTAACCGACGAAATTTATGTCTTTTAGAATGAAATTACATTCAAGAAGATAAGAATATGTTGAATGTAAAGATTATTTGACAGAACAAAATTTATATGCTATATTTTGTTCTCAGAGGTGCTAAATCAAGGTTTGTTTACATTTTAAAATTTCATAGTTCTGATATGTTTTTGTACTGAATTTTTGGTTTTTGGGTGATACCCATTCATACAGTGACAACATGGATGATGGAGCAAGTTTATCTCTGCTATCTCTTGTATTCCTTCAATTTCTTCTCATATGAGTCAAATATTAAGACTAACATGGAGTTTAAAGATTAAAAATTCTTTAATCCGTTGATTTTCTACATTTGATTATTGAAGACAAGATTTATAATCATACTTTTAACTTCACGCATAGGACAACATGTCTACACTTAAGTCCATGAATGTCAACACCTACTAAAAGAAGTACAGATAGTTATGCTTATTTATTGCAAACTGTAGATCGATGGAAACAATTGACTTTTGTTGGACTCAGATAGTTGAACTAATAAGTTATGTACTGATATAATTAGTTTAGTTGTCAGGCTTGGTAAAACAATACAAAGGTATATTGGACAGTATAATATTATGGGGGATACAGATAAAGTTCTGTTACCCTACTCATTACTTGAATATTGATATTAAAAAAAGTCTTTGAATTCATTTCAGTTATAAGTACAAGATATTGAATTGGGGAATATTTTTCCATGATGAGTAAAGATACTGACCACTTCAGGGTAGGTTTTAAAGTTATTTTTTTTGATAACTAACTAGGCTATTCATTTAAGGGGCCTGTCAGACTGATTTACATCTGTATTTGGAGATAATTATGTTATAGTCTTGAAGATCAGTAGAAGCTAAGGAAATTGCTTCATTAAACACTTAATGCACCCCTATTAGACTGTCCTGATAGGGATTATATATTTAAAACACACTTTGGTTGTTAAAGATGACCCTTATATTTATCATAATTATTATCCTTTAATTTATTTCACATAAATTTATAACTGAATGTATGGATTTTTTTCTGTTACAGTTTGAGGGATTTAACAAGCAGTTAGTTAAGATAGATGTTGATGTTACACATAAAATCAAGTATGTTGGTGACAAAGAAAAGGTAAAAGGTTTTATCCTTCTCATTTTGTTTGAAAATTAGGTTTCGGGGAAGGGAGGGTTTGATTCTCCCATTTTGATCTGAAACTAGATGAAATATTCACTCGCCCATTTGGCTTTTTGTTATATACCTATTGGCTTCAGTTTGCTATGGGTGAATTTCTTTTGTAAACTATCATAATGGTCATGCACTTTTTGATTGCTTGTGGTATTGAAATGTATATCTTACTTATGGACTAATAAAGATGGACAGCACCATACAGTGTACAATGAGGGGAAACTCTGCCATTACAGTGGCATTAACGTACTATTTTTTGTCACTTGTAAAAAATGGATGCTTTTAAATGATTTTGATAAATACATAGATCTATAAATGTGTTGTATATCCTCAGATTTGAAAATATGTTTGGCCATGAATGTACAATATAGATCATGTTTTTCAATTGTAGACTGATGAGACATTTTTCTTTGCTGGTGTCTGTAATAGAATCGGTGTTGACAGTACAACAGAATTTTGTAAGTTTTGCTTTTATTATTAGATCATTGAATCATGTTTGGGGATTGATTGTGATCGATTTATTTTTTCATTGGCTAGATTTTTCACACATTAAAAAAAGTAGAATTTCTAATAAGGTTGAATAAGGCCTTTATCAGAATCTAATTGATTAGAGCTTATCTCATGATGCTTTTATGATATTGGAGATATGAAATTCACCAGGACAGCCGTGTTTGAAGTAGCACGTTAGCTATCCCCCAAATAATTGGAATTATTCTTGCTGACTACTGTGATTTCTGAATAAGTTTTTCTAACATTTGTTTTTGAATTTCTTTAGCTGTATAGAAAGATAAGATGTACCCTTGTGTTTAGCATAATACGCTTGATTCCCAGATATATCATTTCAATATGATCCAAAATTTAGATTCCTGTCTACAAAATGATTTGTCAGTTAGAGAATAAATGACCATTTCAATTTCAATATTGTGTTTTATTTATCAATGAATGTCAAACAAGCTTAGCCAGTATCCAGCTGAGCAACTATATGATATTCTTTGGTTGATATTGACACAATCCCAAATCTAAAATTGTCAGTACTATTTTGGAGTAAAAACTCATTTCATTTAAAGTGAAAGGCAAAATGTGATTCAGAAGCCATAGTGGTTAGTCAGTAGGGCATATAAGTAAACTCACTGAACAGGATCAAGCTGTGAATATTTAAATGCAGCTTTGGAATTCATGTACATATATATGATTTATTGTAGATAATTTTCGTTGTGAAATAGCTAATAGTTTTAAATCATATGAAGAACTTATTTACAATAAGGTAAGTAAAAAAACATGTACAAATATTAACAGTGTTTTGTTATGATTTGTTTTATACAGTTGTGTAACCTATTTTCGTGGATATAAGGATTCAACACCGAATTTCGTCAAAGTTAAAAAAACGAAATTTTTTTTTATGTCTTAGATGTTTCCTCAAATATTCTACAAAATAATTAAAATTGGTTTGTTTTGATTTTCTTTATGAATCCTTCACTTTGACCCATATTTCATGAGCAACCAACTCGTCAACGGCAGCAGACGGCGTCACCTATTGTTTATCGAAACAAGCAAATGTTGAGGTCATGCGAGGTCGCACATGTAAATTATTAATCATTTGCGGAAATGCACGAACAACTTAACTTAGATTATAAGAAATATTGAAATACTGGAAATCACTGTTCACTTATAATTTTTTTTAATGTGTTACTATATTTTCAGGATTTGATAGTAAAAGCTCTCATCAAACATTTACAAGTTCCCAATACTTTAGCTTTAGAATCATTGTTACAGTAAGTTTTCAAGTTTTCATTCAAAACCAAATTATACAGACAATGTCTTTTCAATTTTTCCAGCTTTGTATACAGTGGTATTTGCGATCAGTCTGAAAATAAATTTTTGACATTTTGTCACACATTTTGTTCATCATTCTATTGCCAATAATGAGATTTGATGAAATGCTGTGTTTGTTACCTTCTGTGATTACCATAAAGGTGTGCACTATTTCTACGGCATGTATCAAATGCAGCATTATAATTGGGTAATGCAGCCATAATTGTTTTTTTTGTTAGCCATTGTGTTATTATCAAGGAATACAACAATACACTCTTGTGTTCATTAACCGTCATATGCGTTAAAACAAAACCTGTACCATTATCTCTGAAATTGTATTTTATAGTTTAGTTGTTGAGTTATCTAGAGATCTACAAGCTGATTTCTGTGAATATTTTGATGAGTTTTTCAACACATTGACCCAGATATTGACCAGTTTCAGTCAGGACACCAAAGCCTTGGAGAATGTTTTCACCACCTTTGCTTATCTCTTTAAATATTTATGGCGTTATTTTATCAAAGATTTACAGAAAATATGGAGGTGAGAAAGATGTTTTATTTGCTTTTATTTCATCTAGTTTTTTTTTTTTAAGGAATTTCAAATTGTTATGATTTTGAAAGACCATACTGTGAATATTGATAAAATGATATATCCCTTGACATATGTTTACACTTTGTACCCTGGCCATCAGCCACAAAAAAATTGACAGTTTACCATTAAGTGTTGTTAAGATGTGTGGTGAATGTGTTTGAATTGTAAAATGTCTTTATATTCAGGCCGTATTCAACATTATTGTACAACAATCAGAAAGATTTCATCAAGCACATGGCATCTGCTAGTATAGCTTTTCTACTCAGAAAGGTAGGAAAAAATATTTAAACTTGAAATTGACAAAATTGATATAACTATTACTACCAACCAATGGACCTCCATATTTCATAAATTGGAAGCTATAAAAAGAACATTACCAGTATTATTGCCCAAGGTCTTAATGTCCATATTGTTAAAGATATATATATATATTTTAGGTGAAGAATAGAAATAAATTGTTAGATTTTTTGTTCAATGATTTGAAAGAACATCCAGAGGTGAGTTTTTAATCACTTCACCTTATAGGATACATCAATATAGAATGTCTTATAGGATACATCAATATAGAATGTCTTTTAGGATACATCAATATAGAATGTCTTTTAGGATACATCAATATAGAATGTCTTTTAGGATACATCAATATAGAATGTCTTTTTAGGATACATCAATATAGAATGTCTTATAGGATACATCAATATAGAATGTCTTTTAGGATACATCAATATAGAATGTCTTTTAGGATACATCAAGATAGAATTTTTAACACTTGGATTTCAGAATGAAATCTCAGCTTTGAGATTCACAAACTTTGAGCATTCATTTTAAGCATTCATACACACAAGGTATATAGGTGAAACCAACAAACAATGAAGCTATCTTTGTAGAATTAAATGATTTTTATGTTTTTAGTTAGTACAAGGTATTGGAATGACTCTATTTCAAATAGTGAAAGGTGTTGATAACAGATTTCATCATATCAGTCAAGAGGTTAGTATTTAGAATATTATAAGATGACTGACTTCATGCATCATCCATAATGAAGTATTGTTCAGATGAAACCAAAAAAACTCAAGGTCTTATGTACTACAGACTATAAACGTCAAAGATCTAGTGATGGTTGAAAATCAAAAAAGAGTACCCTAATATGCTGTCCTGGCAAAATTTCCTTCACTGTACAGTGTATGGCGATGCCTATTTCCATTAGCTAAATCAGGTCCAGAAAAGTAGCATTAATAAGAATCAATCCAAATGCAAATTTAAAGCAATATGATTTTTCCTGATTTCCAGAAATGACTTTGATATATGTCAGCAAGTATTCATATCAGAATTTTTTTTTTTTTTAGATTTTTCCAATTGTGTTCTATAAATTAGGACAGTGGAATCCTGATAACAACAAGTTTAAAGCAGCATTGAATTTAGTTGAGAAATGTATTAAGATATTTGTTAAAGAATGTTTATCTTTTACCACTGTTAAATACTGTGATACTATGTGGAACTCTTTATTAGTAAGTATATCTTTGAAATTTGGAATGAAAATCTGTACAATTCAAACAATAGTATGGCAAATCGGGAGTAAAAGTTGTATAGTAGTGTAATACTCCAAAGAGAAGTACCATCAGGTGTAAGCATGCTCTGTTTTGCGTCCAACACTTGCCACTACTATTATGGTGAAAAAAGAGGTCCTTTAATGATAATGATTTAATGGAAGCAAGGGTGATTCAGCAAGTTATATGCTTAGTTTTAAATCTTGAGATCTGGAGATACCTTAAAGTTTGATTTAAACCCATTTCCATCTGTCAGTGATACAGGCTGGAGGGGCTGTCAAGGATTGGGAATGTGACAAAAAACAAAGGCTTGCTATGCACATTTAACAAGTCTCCTCTGAGTTCAAAAATGAAAAAATAATATTCTTTTTTGTGGGTTGAAAATATTTTTTGCTCAAATTTCAGAAAACTATAAATCAAACTCTAGAAAAATGTGTCGCTTAAGTATCTGAATGTTTAAACTAAAAAATGCATCCATTAATTTGGCAAAACTATTTAAAAATTTTAAGCAAGGTTTTTAAGTTTGTTATGCTCATTGAAAGTTTAAAAAAACTACTGTACAGATTTAAATAAAATAAAGGTCTAATTGTAAAGAAAAATGTCTTCTAAAGGTTTCACCAAAACTAGATGTAAATAGCAATATTTTCAGGTATAATTTAGGACGTTTTTGACGGTGAAAAAAGTTGAATGCCCCTTTAATCTGTTATTATTTGATTTTCATTATAGCACACCACATGATGTTTTTGATTTTTTTTTTTAACAGACATAGAAAAAGTGACATGATGTTTGAGTTTTTACTATATTTCATCTTAAACTTACTTGATTAATGAAATTTAAATATATTGTAGGAAAGTATCAAACAAGTTTATATTGTATGTAAAGAGGCATCTGAAGAGAAATTTAACAAAATATGTAAACAACTGAACAGAAACTTGAAAATGTTTCAAATAATGTTACAATATAGAAATGGTGCCTTTATTGTTGATTTCTATACACCTATTACTGAAGTAAGTCTTCTTTTAATACAATTTCAACTTGAATGGAAAGATGACTTAAGATGACCTTCTTTCCTTCATTACATGGGAGCCATGCTTGCTGAGTGAGTTAGGTTTGATTCCTGCAAAGGTTGAGACAATTCTATACCTTCAGATTTTTCAATCAAATTTCCACTGGAGGGAGGGGGGGAGGGTGGACAAGCCTGATCCTTTGGATGGGGCAAGAAACAGACGGCCAATGTGCTACATGCTGTACATTAAGGCTCCTGTGACTTATGGAAATCATCTTCCTTAGCCCAATCAGATGCAGTAAAGAGAACTTATTTGTAAATAGCCCACATAGTCCTAAGAGAGCCGCCCCTTCTGGAAATGCTTGGTTACGTCGAGCAAATGGCAGCTGTGGGTTCAATTCTCGATCTGCGTGTGATTGTCCAATGACCTTGAATAAGTCATCTTCACTCATATTTACAGTTGACTCAGCTATAAATAGGTACTGATAATCCAGGAAACATCAATGACAAGAGGTTTGGCCAAGAACCAGTTGGTAGAACTGTGAATCTAAGTTGTTATCCTTGTAAATTATAGTTGTTTCTTTATTTTATTTCTTCAAAAATGATTTTATTATCAACTTGTAATGTTATTCCACATGAACATTTGTTGGCAGAAACTGTTACCAATAGTTAATTCTGGCATTATGTATTTGTAGATTATTGGAAGTCTATGTAGTGAACCTATAGTCGAGGAAGCAGTAACTGTAACTATATTATCAGTAGTAGAAACATATTTAATGGTATCTCAATATCAACATCTACATCAACCATTATCTATACGTTCTATATTACATAATATCTTTACTAACTTTACATTTCAACAACTCTCACAACATCTACCAACTCTTCTTAAACTCAAGATATTTGATGCTGTAAGTTTCAAACCTTTGAGATTATCAAAATTTGAAAACAAGATTTTGCACAGATTAGGCACTTGCCAACCAGGAGATCCCCATGATTAGTTGCAGCATTGGATGAAAAAGTTCATGAATTTCTGGCATGGTTTTCCTAACATGACTATTGACATTGACAAACTATGTGTGAGTTTCAGTATCGTCCTGACTGAAAAAAACACGGCAACAATCCAAAATGTCATTCATTGCCCACTTCATGGTGCATGCATCATAAATGATATTTTTTGAAGAAACACTGTTTGATGCATCTATATTTATGAATGTTATATATTGTTTTAGGAAATCTTACCACATTTATTGCAATACATCAGCAGCCATTATGTAGGTGGTAACCATGACGACCAAATTTTAATGGTGAAAACTATGGTAGATATTATACTACAGAAATCAGTTATACATATTGAAGATGGTTCACATTTACACACCCTCAAATTCTTTTATTTATATGAGAGATGTAAACAGTTGAAAGGGTATGTATTTAAGCTACCTAGAGTAAGATTTATTTAGTGAATGTTTTAAATTAAAAAATGAATTAAGGTGAAATTATTGTGTTGTAAAATCTTCTTTATGTACCATAATTACTCAAAATTTGAATTTAAGTCTCTAAGCATTATCTAATGCAAATTCATCTCAAAATACATCACCTAAACATTGAAACTTTTTTTACGAAAATGTTGGGTATTTAAGGATGGTATTTGATGTCAAGTTTTATTATTTATTACACCAAGTTCAGTATACATCAAATGAATCGCTGTACTACAAGTAGTATTGGTTATACTATCAAAAAGTCTATGATTGGTTATTACTGCCTCATTTTTATACGCCCACATCTCTCTATGTTGACGTATATTGTCGGCACCCCTGTCCGTCCGTCGGTCCGTCAACATTTGCTTGTAAACACTCTAAAAACTAGATTTTTTGATGGAATCAAATGAAATGTGTATACATATTCATAAAACGAAGATCAAGTTCGAATTTGAGCTATTTTCGACCGTTACAAAGCAGAGTTATTGCTCTTGCCCCAAAATCTTGAATATGCTATTACTCTCTTAGTTATCAACTGATTTTGATGCAACTTAAAATGGATTTTCGTTTTTACCATCTGCATGCCATGGTTGGCGTATAAGGCTGTGGTCCACTATCTTTCTTTTTGGAATCACCTGAACGTTGAGCATACTAAGTTACTGTATTCCCATTCAAGGACGTTTTTTTTTATTGACATCAATGATTCCAATACACGATCTCCAATGTTAACAAATTGAAAGATGCATGCAATTATTCAATTTTCCAGAAAACCTTTATCTTGATATAGGACCATACACACCATAAGGTAACAGTTTATTGCACATATACATATTCATATTAATATTAGTTTGAATAATGTACCAATTTCTTTCAGTTGTAAAATGGATAGTGTATGTAAAGTTATGTTGAATGAATTAAAAAATCCTGATTGCGGTACAGTACAGAAATGGTCATATTTCATTTGCCTTCAAAGTTTGTTGTAAGTAGTTTTTTTTTATTTATGTAAAAAAGAACCATGCAAAAAATTAAGAAAAAGGTTCAGGCTTATTTTCTAAACATTGAACATATTTGTTGACCTGTAAACTTCTGCTTCAAAGTAGAATTTCCAAACAGGGCAGCTCTCTTAGGGCTATTTAGAAATATTTTTTTTATTGAATATTAAAATGTTACATGATATTAGCAAGATGTAACATTAGAGTTTTTAATTATTTATCTATTAATGAATTTTTTTTTACCAGGAGCAGTAATGTTGAGTTGATGAAAATCTGTTGTGATTTATGGCACTCTTCCTTTTCTAGTATCAAAAATACATCAAATGTGAAAGGGAAAGGTATGTATTCTGGTATTGCATGGAATTTGTAACTGTAAATACTATAATCACCAACAAATGAGGATGAGGTCACAAAGTAAAGATTTATGATAAAAACTTGTTATAGCTTAAAGAAGTCAAGGTCTTTTTTTTTTGTTAAGTACCTTATACAGCACTCCAGTTAAATTTTTGGACTATGAAGACTGAATAACAAATGCCAGTGATATATTCTGCACACTCAGCTTACTAATTATTAAGGGTATTGATTATGTCCATTGCTTTGTGTTTTCAGATTCTTTATATTTTTTGCTGTATCAAGTTGTAATATGTATGACATTATTAAAAGTGAAAGATGAACATAATTTATGTACGTATGTTAAATGGAATGATGTTCTTCAATTATTAAAGTAAGTCATCTTATATCATTACTCGTGGTCAATTATTTTGTTAGTATGTAATAGGTAAATAGTAACTGTCTTGGGGTATCTTTAAAGCGCACAACTTTCTGTTGTTGGAATTGGCAATAAACCAAGGCCCTGTGTGCTACAGGTTGTGCATATTAAAGATCACTAAATAACTGAAAATAAAAAACAGTTGTTCGAGTAAAATTCTCCTGATTATACACTTCAATGGTACAATAATAAAAAGAAAAGTAGGATATAGGCCTATGTATAAACTCCAATTCATTCATTCTAAATAGGTTGCTTTTTTTTCTTTAATGTTTTTTGAATATTTTCAGGTATAATGAAGAGAATGTAATAGTATTAAGAATTGTAGATATTTATTTAAGTCAGGCTGTTCATATTAAACCAGAATTATTAACACAGAAATTACAACTAGAAATATTGGATATTATATATTGTAATCTATCACACTGGTCTAGAAAGGTAGGATTTCTCTCTAGATTTCTTGATTATTATTCATTAACTGACAATTAAACAATATATTCGGATCTCAGAACTTTTCTGTTAAGTTTGTGTTCACTGTCACAATTACTAAACTGAGCTATATTTTGATACATATGGTTCTTGTACTGTTGTTCACTTTACCTAAATAGCTTTGTATAAGAGCCTACCAAAAGAACCTTTTGTAAGAGAGGGCTTGCCCATATAATATCAAAAAGGTTTTTGTGTGTTTATATTTACAAAACAAACTGAATGTAATAGCATGTTAAAAAAAGTAGAACGTGCTATAAAAAGGTAATTGTATGATCTTGTTTAGGCGCAAAACATCCAAATACTTTTGCCATTTGTGATATCGTCTGTGTTATTCCTTTTTATACGCCCACATCTCTCTATGTGGACGTATATTGTTGGCACCCCCGTCCATCTGGCGGTGAACATTTGCTTGTAAACGCTCTAAAAACTAGATTTTTTGATGGAATCAAATGAAATCGGTATGTGTATTCATATTCATAAAACGAAGATCAAGTTTCGAATTTGAGCTATTTTCGACCGTTAGAAGCTGAGTTATTGCCCTTGCCCCAAAATCTTGAATATGCTATTACTCTCTTAGTTTTCAACTGATTTTGATGAAACTTAAAATGAATGTTTCGTTTTTACCATCCACATGCCGTGAAGGGCGTATATGGCTGTGGTCCACTATTTTTTGATATGTTTCTTTTTAGGTTCGGATATTAACAACACATATTTTATCATTGTTTCCTATTAGTCAATCTACAAATCAACAGGTATTATATTAATACAGATACTTATCGATTATATCTTTTATTCTTTAAACACTGCATCAAATGATTTAATTTTACTGTATATCATTAGGCTTTTAGGGTTAAAAGCCCACTATATAAAGACACTGTGACATCAGATCTGGTCTTAGTTTGAGGAAGATCGAACCCTCAGCACCTATTCACCTATCAGACGATAATCCAGCTCTTCTTTGTCTGAGTTTTTCCACTGATCATCATTAGGGTGAAACGTGGCACGCTTCATGTCTTCTGTAGGCCTAGCAATAGCTCTTTAATTTCTAACTTGACTGAATCCCATTGAGAAAACCCATAAATAATCCCAAAGTTCACAAGCTGACAAAGTCAATGCGGCAAACATGATATGAGTGATAGATGATTTGAAATGGAAATGAATGTACACATTTTCTTCTCATTGAATTGTACCTGCTGATTTAGTATTTCTGACTTGAGTTCATAGTGTCTCTGAATATAACATATTGATAAACATTATGTTTTTGATTTGATAAAGTATTTGTTTTTAAGATTGTGTTATTTTTGTTATTATAGGATGAAGAAATAGTAAATATATTTGAGATATGTTGGAATGCAGAGACTATAATTCCAACATTACATTCATACAGAGATAGATTGGTTTACTTACAAAAACTAGATTATAATCATATTAAACAGTCATTAACTCATACTGCTCTGGAAAAGGTAGGTTATTATAGTATGAATAGTTATTTCGTTACCTAATTCCATGTATATAATGTTCTCTAATATTGCCCCTGCCTTGCAAAAAGATTCAAAGATCACAATTCATCAGGGCAGATGAAAATTAGGCTAAGAATTTCTATCATAAGATTTTTTGGGTGAAACGATTTAATGACTGTTTTTTGACTCTTAGTGTCTTGAATTTTAAATTACTTATTTTCCTAGTCTTTGGAAAAAATTATGTCTAGTAGAGTCTTGCCAAGAATTGGCATAATTAGAATTTATGATAATTATTTCTTAAACAAGTTTGTGTAGAAGCTTGACTTAAACCAGTCAATTATTTTACAGGTCAAGCATACATATGTTATATTTCACATATTTTAGGTGCCTGTACTATATTTAATTGGTAATCTATTCTGTAATTTGGCTCTAATGTGGGAGAAAGTTAAAACACTTATAGCTACACATGCTCAAGGTTTAGAAGTTGATATATTTTGGGAACAATTCTGCAGCCATTTACAAAAAACAGCTGACAAATTTGGTAAGTTTATCAATATTATCGCTTATCAAAAGTGTCTAGATGATTAATAAAAGTCAAGAAAAAGTAGACTTATTTAAGCTGTTCTGGCCAAATACTTTCACATACATTATCAATGTGTCCTTCTTTGTTGGTCCAATTAGTTTCAGTATTCATTGCAATTGAAATAAAATATGACTATTTTAGATTGTTTGATTTCAGTAAAAGGTGATAAAGAAGTTGCTATGGAAACAGAGGATGATGATGAAGAATATTTAGATATTGTTTTTAATGATCAGATAGTATTTAGTAGAAATGAAGATAGATCTCCTGATTTTGTCTCATTTAGAATGCAATTGTGGAAATCCATGACTTTGTTTCCTGAAGTCTGTCAGAATAAGCTGATAGATGTTGGCCGATTTCTCTCTGATTTCATTAAGTAAGTACAATAAGATTTCTCTCTGATTTAATAAGATTTCTCTCTGATTTCATTAGGTAAGTAAGATTTCTCTCTGATTTCATTAGGTAAGTAAGATTTCTCTCTGATTTCATTAGGTAAGTAGAGTAAGATTTCTCTCTGATTTCATTAGGTAAGTACACTAAGATTTTCTCTCTGATTTCATTAGATAAGTACACTAAGATTTCTCTCTGATTTCATTAGATAAGTACACTAAGATTTCTCTCTGATTTCATTAGATAAGTACACTAAGATTTCTCTCTGATTTCATTAGGTAAGTACACTAAGATTTCTCTCTGATTTCATTAGGTAAGTACATTAAGATTTCTCTCTGATTTCATATAGTAAGTACAGTAAAATTTCTCTTTGATTTCATTTGTTAAGTACAGTAAGTTTTCTCTCTGATTTCATTAGATAAGTACAGTAAGATTTCTCTCTCATTTCATTAGATAAGTACAGTAAAATTTCTCTCTCATTTCATATGGTAAATACAAAAGTTTCATAAAGTACCAAATAATTTATCTCTGAATTTCATTTTAGAAGTGCAAAAATTGATCTGTCCCTGATTTCAGTAAATATGTACAGGAAGATTTTGTAAAGTAAATGCATAATGGTTTATCTCTTATATTTCTACTCTCTTTCCTAGGGATGAATATGTACCATTGGATTTTGAAAATATGAAAGAGAACATACAACATACTAAATCTGATTCAACTGAAGAAGAAGAGGAAGATGATGAAGAAGAAGATAGTGAAAAAGATCCTGAGAAAGAAGAAACGATACGAAATGTTGTGAAAATGTCCCAGTTGAATAAAAACAAGTAGGTTGATGATTTTCTGACATTGAGTTGCTTATTAAAATTTTACTATGGAAATTAGTCCTATTTCATTTTTTTTAAGGGAATGTCAGATTTGATTAAGTCAACTATGATTTAGTCCCAACAAAAGAAATTTTCTTGAATTTAGGCCTGTTTCCAAATCTTGTATGCAATGAGTAGTAAACAGACTTCTTAATGCGAATACTGCTGAACCACATTTGTCAAAACAGACCCATGGCAGAATGAACCCAATGATTTTGGTTAAAACAGGTCCAACTAGTGGAAAATAATAAATCCAATATTTATTTGTACATGAAATGATAAAAAGACCCCAATAAAATATCAAAGAGTAGTTTGTACCATATGTGTCAATGTACATTTGTATTTCAGATGTTTAGTGGTTCATCTACAATTGATGTCATGTATAAGTAAACCTAAAAAGATGAAAGGTTATAATGAATTGTTAATGATCTATTTGAAAGTAAGTGCATAGATTAGTTTAAACTCTTTGGTTTCAATCAGTCAGTTTTTGAGGATGAATATTCGTAGGCTTTTGGTAAATTCAAATGATATGAAAAATAGAATGCACATGTAAATGATATGTTTCCTATCAAAAATGACATGACTTTTTAGCAAAAGCATGAAATTGGAGGATATTCAGTTTGAAACTGAGTAATTCCAATCTTCAGATCATGCTGCAGATGTGTGTTACGAATACAAAATCTTCATCAGGATAGCTGGTTTACAAATGAAGCTTAACTTGAGGGTATTATTCTCTGAGACTATTATGAGCAAAATAAGCACAGCAGATAAGCAAGGATAAGCTATGATTTAAGTTAGTTCAGACTGAAAAACATTTATTTGCCATGGATATGTTCATATGTTAATAGTAGAAACTCCGGCCTATCAGGAAATATAATGAAATATATAAAACATAAAGGCTAGAATAACATCAGTTATTAGTGTAATCCTTCATTTCAGTTGTTACAGAATCATGATCCTGAAATACAGAAAGAAGCTTTTAATTGTATAGCTACATTTCAATTTCCTTATGTTAATCCTTATAGGTAAATATACACCTTTATCTTTGGTGATGTACATGATAATGTCTGTTACTTTCATGTGCTAATTGCTGATTAGCCCTTCAAATTGATGATAATTTGTTTTTAAATGTCCACATGTTGATAAAACTGATAAAGTAAGCAGAGTCAACAATACTACTGAGAAAAACTCAACTCAGAGCTGATTTACCTGGGCCCATCTTTTGTCGTTGATATTAAGTAATAGATTCAGGACATGCTGTAAATAGTTACCACTTGAACATAAACCTCTGGAAATTCATCAAATGCATTTTGTTGCAACTGTTTCATGACACACTACCAGAGATTCTATTTTAATCATTAAGCAATGTTTATTTAGAGGTCACATTGAATAACAGAACTCAATTTTCAGTGTGTGCAATAAAACTAAAGATTAGTATACCATAAAATTGTGTTCCGTTATTTAAGGATTCTATTTTGGTTCTAATATTCTATTTAAGTCAAATGTTTTTTTTTTTCTAGGGAAAATCTTCAGAATATTATTAATAATGCTATGTTTAAAGAAGAATTATTAAAATTTGGTTTAGATGAAGATACAAGTATAATTAAACCTGAACATAGAGAAAATCTCATTCCTTTATTATTGAGGTAAGCAAAGAGGAAATAGTGAAAATAATTAGTGGTCTGAAGTAATCCTAATAATTCATTGAAAATAAATCTCTTGGCATTGATTTTTTCTGGATTATGTACAACTATACCCATTTACAGCTGGGTTGACTGGAATAATGAGGAAAGATGACTTATGCATGGTCATTAGACTTTCATACGCTGATAGATCACAACCTTGGACCACCATTTGTTTGACGTAAATGTAAAGTTTCCAATGCTCTAACCGACTGTGCTTTAGAACCCCTCAATTATCCTGGGATAAAGGTGTCTAGTTACATATTATGATTAATTACCCATGACATCTGATAGAAAATTGGAATGGTGTAAATTGATTCTATCAGTATCCCTGATACATAGAAAAACCTCTTTACAATCTTTTTAATGTCAATATGATATTTGTTCTGCTGCAGAATTTTATTTGGTAAAATGTTGAGTAAAGCCAAGAAAGATGGTTCAGGAAAGATAAAAGATTCAGTAAGAAAAGATATGATATTAAGATTTGTTAGTGATTGTAAAGATAATGAATTAAGATATTTTCTACAACTGTTATTTTCACCAGTTCTTTGTTTCACTGGAGGTAAGAAATGATATTTATGATAAGTTATTACATGTTAGAAATATTTAAATCAGAACCTCTCTTTTTGGAAGGGAACCCCCGATTGGAGATTTATCAACAGGTTCCGTCTGCTGCAATTCTGGCTTCAATGGAATGGTATGAAAGCGGATTAAAACTTTCCCATCTATTTCTTTCTCCCTCATTTTGTCTGCACCTACTATTTTTTCTGTTCAAATTTGTTTTATTGAGTGTGGGGTAGATTCCATAAATCCTGAACCTGCAGAACTCAACAATCGAGCAACCCCTTTGTTTGCCGCGTGGGGTAGGCACTATTAATACTGGGGTTTGAATATGGACTCCCTTGAAATTTGTATATTAAAAAAATATCAAAATGTCAAATTTTTTTTCAAGTCATAGATATAGCTTTCACAATAAAATGATACAAGTCTATATCATAAGTATATTCTTTGTTTTATATTGTATAATTGTATATTATTAGAGAATGCAATAGAAGTGATACAGAATATAAAGACATCGTTAGATCTGACTAAAGTCATACCATTACAAATTACTAAAGGGTAGGTTAACAAACTTTAAATAATTAAAATATTTAGTTAGTTAACTTTATGGAATGGAGAAATGGTTATATTAAACAATCTTGTCAAATCAATTCATTGAAAATTGCAGGTCAATTTAATGAATTCTTAAATGATTTCGTATTTGATAATTTGAGCTATTTTCGACCGTTGGAAACAGAGTTATTGCCCTTACCCCAAAATCTTGAATATGCTATTACTCTCTTAGTTTTCAACCGATTTTGATGAAACTTAAAATGGATGTTATTGGACCTAAATCGAAAGGTTTGAGAAGGTTTAGTTTACTTCTGATTAAATATAAGGCTTTTTCAAGATTTAAGCCTCTTACGTCAGTTTTGAGGAGTTATCGCCCTTCTTTTATCAAGTTGTTGATATGAGATGACTATTTGTTTCAGAATATTAAATATGATTGATACAGTAATCAAGAATTTAAAGACAAGTTTAGAGTTTTATATTGGTGATTTATTAAGTATATTAGTAGGACTATATAACTATATGAATACTATATTAGATATGTGTACAGAAGTGAAATATTCTGTATTAAATGATGTTAGAACATGTCGTAATGTATCACTAACTAGATTAATACAGGTAATTATATCTTTCATTATTTCTCAAACACTTGTATTTATGATATAATTTCTTATACACCTCATCAATTGCTTTAGTACCAAAACCTTTTTGAAACTTCTCAAGTAAATCATGTTCAATCTATTACTGAATGATTGGATTAAGGATATTAAGTTGATGAATTGATTAATTTTTTAAATATATGGTATCAGGTGTTCATGTAAGGTGAACTTGAAGCAATACAACATAATCAAAATAACACTGACTTGAGACCACTCTAGCAAAACCAACTCCAGTAATTACTTTAATTCGTGTCCATAGCCCCCCCCCCATCACCCTCAGGTCTGTGAAAGGTCTTATTTTGAAGCGCAAAATGCTCAAAATTCATCTCGGGTTAACTGAAATATGTTGGTTTCTGGGAGCCTGTTTATCAGCCCTCTAAGTCTCAAGGCATTTTCTAGGTATGCCCTTGTTTGTGTTGTACTGTAAGAGATATAGAAGTATGATGTCACCAATTGGATTAGTCAGAATTTTGATCTGATATCAGTTGATTAACTTTTGTTTTTTTTTATTACAGGTGTTTGATAATTTCTTTGAGTATGATTACACAGCAAGTCAAATTGATGTTGTGTTTCAAGTTTTAGTTTGGCCAAAGGTAAGTTAAACATGGTTTTACTGTTTGTTTTTTCTTCATATTTCATTACAAATGAAAAAATTTTCACTGCAAGAATTTTGCCAACATAATTTTTTATGAGATATACAAGAAATATATAAGAAGTTGATTTATGCCGTTTCAAGCAACATCAGAAAATTTATTGAAGATGTCAGGTCAAGGTCGTTGTATATTACAAAACTATAATAATATTGTTTGATTTTGTTTTATTTACACTGTAATTCTCTCTATATTTATAGATGAAACAAGTTTCTACAGACACACAAGATCATATACCACAGATATTATCTTTATTCAATGTCTGGTCCAAATATCCCAGGTATTTATATAATCTATATACACATAGTTATACCATTGGTTACTAATTTACAAAACTTATCATTTTAGCAATTTATCTGATTTGCCAATTGCTGAAACATATTTTCTTTGTTTTATTAAATGAATACTATCTCTTAGAATGGAAATAAAATTGCAAGTCTCAAACTTTGTCAATTAGAGTATATATTTATCAGATGGATTTAAGAAATGCCATGTCTAAAGAATAGAATCTCTATATAAGACAATATATCCAGTAAACTAAATAATTAATTAAACACGCTTCTAAGCATGTTTCAAAGTTACTTAGTTCAATGGATTATTACTTTGTTTTATGGATATATAGATTGTAGATGGATTCTATCATATAGTTATGACACCAGATAAATCCACTGATGAACAAAGACTCATTTTGGCCTAGTTTAAAAATTTCAATTTTTTGGTCATGCTATGAGGTAGTATACCTTTAACCCTTGTACACTGTGTGTAATTGAAATAAAACATCATATACCATGAACGTCAAGTGATATATTGTATGGCCTCCCTTAGAAAAAGCTGCTTTATCAGCTGGTCCCTAGGGTTGATAGGGTCAACTAAAAAGTTGATTAATTAAGTAAAAATGAGAGAAATTTGTCATTGTGTTTCAGTTATTATCCTTTGTTAAAGAAAGAACATCTAGAAATAAAGAGAACACCAATGAGTGAGATTTTTACTCTGTTGAATAAAGAGAATTTATTACGGAAGAAAGGAGAATATATAATGAAGATTATATGTAATTTATTAAATATAGACCTATCTACTGATAATGTTGATGATATACAAGATGATGAAATGAGTGACAGTGATTCTGATGAAGAGATGATTATAGATTCTCAAGACAAGGATGGTATGTTATTTACTTTAAGAATTTGATTTTGTGATGTTAGGGTATTTTTTACCTACTATCAACTTTCTGAGCTTTGTTGTCAAAACCATTGTTTCTTTTAGATAACAATACTCAAAAAATTCCTATTTGTTGATCTATTGCAGTCCCTACCCTATATTGACCTGTGGCACTGCGAGTGAAAATGCTTGCATGCTTAACTTCAGGTCCTGGAATTGATTGGTTCTAGAAGCTCTGTATACTGGAAAAGAAGAAAAGAGAGTAGTCTAATGCTGCTAATCTGGCTGATTTTCTCTGTGGCACATTGCATTGATTGTCTAAATTAGCTCAACTAGGAGTTGGATCTTAGCTGGAGTTTGAATTCTCTAAGAACAAGATCCTCAACCATCGTTAAATATTTCTGTTTTATATGTTACATAACATTTAAAATGATGGAGTTTGAAATAGGCGATGATATACCTTAATACATTAAGTTTTTAGCTCTTCAACTATCAGAGTTGAATAAATGTGTGTTTTAATACTAATCTATGATATATATTATATGTATTGTAGACGAAGAGAAGAATGGAATAGAGTTATTATTACCATATATATCAGATATATTAAAATACTTACAAACTACTATACATAGTCAAATATCATTATCTACTAAACAACATGGTCATATAGAACTACAGATACTTTCAAGGTACAAATTCTTCAAGAAATAACTCTATTGATTTTTTTTAACTTTGCTGAATTGGCAAATTTGTAAATTGATTGTTAATAGGTTTTCTAAATCATTTATTTGTAACTTTACAGCACTGATAGCATCAATTTGCACCATTTCAATTTTCATTCAGACATCTGTGAACCCTGAATTTTCACTAAAACTAAGTGTTTAAAGATGGGTTCCCTTATTGTCATGTATGAAAATGAAAATGCTAATACTTATATGAATAGAAATTAAATAGAAAGAATAGAATACTAGTTTGTCTCACATGTCCTAAATTAACCATAATTAGCTAAATTAGAAGGTAATTACCAGCAGAATTCCAATGAGTGACCGATCAAGAAAGGTCAAAAAAAGTCTTTTTTTGTTTATCCAGACTGTACATACATGGACATTTATGATTCGTCAAAACTCTTAATTATGTGCAATAAGAACATAATGATATGATTAAGAATACATGATAATTCATTAGAAACACCAATTAATCAAAATAGCTTAATTTGACTCATCTTTAATGACGATAAAGCATATTTTACAATTAGTGATTTTACAATCCCTTTGATATGATGATTTGAAAATTGCATTTAAATATTGTTATTGTAGTTATAAATAGTTAGAATTCTATATAATTTCAGGATATCTGACTATACCAATGATAAAGAACAATGTGAAAAATTGTGTAGTTTATTACTATCTTTCTTTAATAAGAAATCCAAATATACTCCAGTAAGTTCAATTTATAATAACATGTATTCATCATATTATTAGAAAGTCTCAAAGTTGGTAAAAGTTAAGCCATGCTTTATTATGCTTTATTGTCCTTCAAGGCTCATCTACATTCTGTTACATAACAGCAAGGGCAAAAAACTCTTTTTGACTAGAAATTAAGGAACTAATATTAAGAAGCTGCTAATCCAGACAGTAATATTCAGGGGTATCAAGCAAGAATAGATAGCTATACACATACAGAAGTGCTTTGGTCTGTCAAAGTTGTCAACTTGTATCAAAGTGATGTAAATAGATATAAATTTAAACCACAGCACAAGTCTTAGGCTGAAGTTTTCCTGATAATCAGATCAATAACCTATTTAATGATGTCTTTGTTGCCTAAAAGAAGATGAAAATGTATATTTGTTTCACTATTTAATCATTTATTATAGGAATATGAAGAGAAATTATTAAATTGTACTAAAAAGTTACTTGGAATAGTAGAATCTCCAGCGAAATTTCTCAGGTTAGAACTATTTTTTGTTGCTATGATTTTTCAAATTTATATATGTAGTAAATTGTATCTGATTTTAAGCCAAAATCTAGAAAATCATATTCCAAATTTTTGAAATAAAACACTGATATACGATGTATCAATAAATTGAGATAATTCCTATATTGTTTAAAATATTCTTTTATTTTCAGACCCCTGTCAGCCTTATTCTGTGTCTTATGTGATAGAAATTCTAGAAAGGTTTTATGTCAGACATTTGAGGTTAGCTTAGTTTTGTTTATTACCAAAAAAGCCAGTAAAGTGACTAAATGCATTCCCTGAAAAGTGATCATGTCAACATATGTACTTAAGTTTCTTGTATTAAGTTGAAAAGAAATTATTCAAAATCATGATCATCATATCTGGTTTAACTTAAAAAATTGAGAAAATAAATCATCCATGTTTGTTTATAGAATTGTATTCTACCAATCCTCTTTGTATGATTTGAAATATCAACTTTAATTAGAGTCTTAGATTATCTTTGGTTTAAGCTAATGCTAACCAAGGATTAAATTCTGAGTTATCCTTTTTGTGGAATTCAGTTTGTCAGATTTTTTATTTGATCCTAAAATTTTATTTGTTATATTTTAGATTGTTGCTGATGATAAAATCAGTGATATTGTTGTTAAGGTATGTATTGTAAATTCTGCTTCTAAAATAGATATCAAATCAACCAAGACCCACCTGCTTATTGCTTTCATGAAATCCTTGTTAAATTATAATAAAAATAAACCAACGTTTAACTCTTAAATATGTTGTTCGACAGATAGAGTAGGTCTTTTTGTAGCATCACAATTGTGACTTGATTTTGAAGCAAGCCTGTAGTGTTTTTTTTTTTAAATTGTAAACCCAAACCTTCAATGAGTTCAGTCACAAACAAACAAAAATATCATGTAGTTTCCACTTTCTCAGATTATTTAAACAGTATTGTATTTACAGTTAAATTCGTGGAATCCATCAAGAACAGATGAACCTGACTATGATAAAAGGTTAAAAGCATTCAGTGTATTTAATTCTATGATAGTACAGAGCTCCACTCTCAATGCTGACAATATATTACCTGTATTATACAATTGTATATATTATATTAATCAAGTAAGTTCATTTTTATTTCACAAAAATTAAAAAAAAAAATGCAGATTCTTTTATGAAAATCAGCTGATGAAAAAGTAGTTTTGCTATTCAGCCAAAAGAAAGTAAAGAAACAACAATCTTTAACAAGGATTATATCTTAGGTTCACATGAATTCTTCCTACCAGCTGGTCCTTGGCCAAATCTCTTGGTATTGAGATAGGTCTTGAGTTATAAGAATAATATTCGATGTTACAGTGACCGTAAATAGAACCCATGACCCTCATTTGTTCAAAAGGCCAAGCAAATGTAAATTTTCCAACGCTCTAACCGACTGTGCTTAGTTATAATGATAATAAACTCTTTATTTTACATGGGTCAGAATTAGGCTTAATACACAAGGACATTGTTCTGTCTAACATTCAACAATATAATGAATGGTATGAAAAAAAAAAACCACAAAAAGATGTACAGGCATCATACTATAAATGTACAGGTTCTCTTGTAACTAACTGCTATGTTGTAGTGCCTTTTTCACTTCATCCTTTCAATATACTTGCCAGGTTAGTGATAACATTTATTTCTGTTTGATGTATTTCAGGAAGATGATATGTCATTAAGAGAATCAGCTGTTAATTGTATAGAAATTGTTATTAAACAGATGTCCAAATTAGAAATTGGCATCAAAGATAATTTATTTCAAGTTATCATTAAAAATCTACTGATAACTAAAATACAACAAGGCATTAATAATAAAACTGATGTAAGTATTATTCTTTCTTCTATTTGATCATAATAACAGAAAAAATGTGGAAGATGGAAAATGAAATGAAATGAATGGAGTTTTACGTCCTACTGCAAGATGGAGGGTGTGACACCAGACAGGGTTTGCTTGCTCCTCTAGACACCTGATACCACTTTTCACTATGAAATACTTTCTCATTTATGATTAATAATTTATTAATTATGAAAGGAAAATTAATAATGACTAATTAAAATTAATAATGACTAATTAAAATTAATAATGACTAATGAAAATTAATAATGACTAATGAAAATTATTTATATTCTCAGGTTGTTCATAATAAATATGTACATCTATGGTCTATATTGGTAGATGAATATCCTACTCTATCTATATGTGAAGGTTTAGATGAGCTAAAGACCTTGGGATTTTTTGATGGTATTGGACACGTTCAGGTGGGTACAGAACTATCTGAGTTGGAAGATTTTTTTAATTTTTCTTGTCAATGATATTAGCTTGTTCTTGTATTTACACTGTTTAATTATTATGCATTTATCAAACTAAAACCAGATACTTTTCACTCAATAATTGAATTTGAATTATCTTTCACATCATTATATTTGAAAGAAAAGCGTAAAAACTGTCGATATTTTATTAAACATGGAGGAAATTGTCGTAAAAATCTTTCACATATGTGTATCTTGATATTTTTCAGATGCAAAAGAGAGCTATAGCAATAAGAAGTTTAAAGAAATATCTAGAGAGTCATACACCTAACTCTGGGTTATTGAATAGTTATTTTCTACCTATAGTTAGTAGATTTGTAACTGATGAATGGTATGGTAAACAGAATGATTTAGTAGATTCCGCTATAGAGACACTTGGTAGTATAATAAAATTATTACCCTGGTCTGTCTATTATCAACAATTAAAACGATTTCTACAACTACTAGCTACTAAATTATCTCAACAAAAATTACTAGTCAGGTATGATACCAATGTTAATATATACTACTGTGCTTAACACATATTTGACATATGTGTACCAATTATTTGTGTAGTCTAAGATGGCACTTGATTGGTCAGTTCTGAACAGGTTCTCTCTGTTCCTATTCGATCTTCAGTACGAAAACGGTTACATCATAATATTTCCCCTTCTATTCCTCTTTCCACCATTTTGAATCATGTCTACATCTACTGTTTTTTCAACCCCTTTTCAACTTGTTTTTTTGAATGTCAGGCCGATTCCATGAATCTTGAACATGCATAGCCCACCAATCAAGCGCCCCCTTGAGATTATGCTGTCAATACAAGGATTCATATTTGGCTAGAAATTTGATTTTAATGAACTCAGGTCTTCTCTTGACGATGGAATCCCAGATCTCTTTCACGTTATGCCCATCTTTTTGTCTGCAACAATTGACATTGGAAAGCACGTTAAAGATCCCTCAACAGTAGGAAATCGAAAAAGAGCAGGCTAATGCGGCTGTCCTGGCAAAATTTTCCTCATTGAACCCTGCATGGCGTTACCCGTCTTCATTAGCCCACATGGTGCAGGAAAGTAGGACGTAAAACTCCATTCATTTCATTTCATTTGACATTGGAAAATGTACTGTTTTATTTAAAACTAAGACTATGTTCTTTGTAAATAGAATCAGGTAAGAACCTTGCCAGTTAAAAATTGGTGAAAGGTCGGCATGTCACTGCTTCTTTTCATTAAAAAAAAAAGCCCTGATGATTGTGTCAATTATAATGTATTGTAATTTCAGGGTTATATCAGCTTTATTGAACTCATTTCATTTTGATCTGAGTAAGTCTACATTTAAACTACCCAAAAAACCAGTTTTTGATAGAAGGAAAAAATTTAAAGGTAATTTGGTGTTTTTCTAAAAATTCTGTCTTCTTCATACAACAGATACATTACAATGTGTTTTTGCTACATGTACATCTGAATTATAGGAAAACCTGAAACATGTTGTTACTCAGAGTTGTCTGGCACGGCCTGAAACTCTGAGTAACATCGTGTTTCAAAATCTGTTTTAATATTTCTATATTGCTCTGCAATTGGTATATTGAGCACTATTTTAACAGTGGAAATATTTTATTTTTGTAATATATATATGTATAGGTAAATATAAAGGTAAAGAAGAAGTGAAGAATGAAGAAGAGGAAGAGGAAGAAGAAGATGAGTTTACTCTTCCTGTAGATACTAGTGTTAAAAAGGGTCAGATGGAAGCATGTAGTGAAGAATTGGCTACCAAAATACATGAAACTCTTGTTCATGAAACTATACCTTGGCTCCATAAACTTATTACACAAAAGGTCTGTAGTATGTTGTTAATTGCTAAAAAAAAAACCATCAAAACTTCGAAACCAGTCTCATTTATGATTCTGCGCTGTGGATTCACGAACTTTTGAGCTTACCAGAACATTTTCTGACATTATTTCAGATTTTCTTTAATATGTTGATTCGCATAATATTAGCTCAGTTTCAATTAAAATTATCCTAAAGACCCAAAGTCAAATCAAGGTCAGATAGTTTGAATATTAAATCAGACTTGACTGGTGAATATCAGGTACATCAGCAACCCTCGCTGGGTATTGTTGTCCTAGCATTAGTTTCTGATTTATATGGATATATTTCTATTCTAGGCTAAAAGTGAAGGTCAACATAGACTAGTACGTTCAGCGTTTGCAAGAGATGATGAAATATTACGAGTTCCACTTGCTCTAGCTTTAGTTCGTTTATTACAAATGTTACCACATAAAATATTAGAACTGAAATTACCAGGGTAAGAGATGTTTTGTTTATTCTATCCATATAACAAAAGATATCTAAAGTATAATCTAAACACATTGTAAAGAGGTTTACTAAATTTTTCGTGTGTATCAAGAGGGGCTGACATGGAAAAAGCATCTATTCAAACGGTCGGACAATAAACCGAGGCCCCGTGTGCTACAGACTGTGCACGTTAAAGATCCCTAGACAGTTGGAAATCGCAAAAAGAGCAAGCTAATGCCGCCGTCCTGGCAAAATTTCCCTCATCGCACCCGGCATGGCGTTGCCCGTCTTCATTAGCCCACATGGTGCAGAAAAGTAGGACGTAAAACTCCATTCATTTCATTTCATTTCTTCATTGATAAATTGAATTATTGACAAATCAAATACAATAATTCCTTACCTTATAATTACAGGGTTATATTGAGAATTTGTTTATTCTTAAAATCAAGAGCGAAAGAAATTCGAGAAAATGCTCGCTCTACACTCAGTAAAATCTGTGTTGTATTGGGCCCCAAATATTTCCCTTTTATATTAAAACAGATGAAATCAGTGTTAGTGAAGGGTTATCAGGTATGTAGACTTTGCTTACTAACTAAGGTTGGGCTTGATTGTTGGGTTCTGAACAGGTTCCATCTGTTCCACTTCTGCCCTCAATCACAATCAAAATTTTCCATCTATTTCATTTTCCACCATTTTTATACGCCCACATCTCTCTATGTGGACGTATATTGTCGGCACCCCTGTTGGTCGGTCCGTCGGCCAGTCTGTCCGTCTACATTTGCTTGTAAACGCTCTAGATTTTTTGATGGAATCAAATGAAATTCGGTATGTGTATACATATTCATAAAACGAAGATCAAGTTTGAATTTGAGCTATTTTCGACCGTAAGAAGCAGAGTTATTGCCCTTGCCCCAAAATCTTGCATATGCTATTACTCTCTAAGTTTTCAACCGATTTTGATGAAACTAAAAATGAATGTTTCGTTTTTACCATCCGCATGCCGTGGTGGGCGTAAATGGCTGTGGTCCACTATCTTAATTCTATCTGCACAGACAATTTTTTTGACACACATAGAATGCATTCTGAACTCTGTTCCAACTTGTTTTATTGTATGTTCTGTTGATTCTATAAATCCTGAATGTGCAGGACTCACTAATCTAGTGGCCCCTCTAGCTGGCCTAGACAACTTATGCGCAATTTCACTTATCATATTCTTTCTGTTTGTATAGGTTCATATATTGTGTTATTCTGTACATACACTATTAGTTCATATGGTAACTAAATTAAAACCAGGAGATTTAGATTCATCATTAAGATTATTATCAGATGTAAGTATGTTTTTAATATTTCTACTTCAAATGCCTAAAAGAATTAAAAGTTCCTTAAAAATGGTTAAACAAATCACATTTGTTTTTTTAGGATGAATTTTCAAAAGTCTTTACTTTATCTGGTAGAGTCTATGTATAAAGTGTATGGGTTATGGGCCATAATTTATGGCACCCACTAGCATTTAGTTAATTCTTCAATAGCCCAATAAAAAGCATAAAGACAGGATTTTTTTCATTTAAATTTTATTTTGTTATATTGGTAGATATTTATAGAGGAAATGTTTGGTAAGGTAGCAGAAGAGAAAGAAGTAGAAGCTATAACCAATCAAATGATAGAAGCTAAGAATAAGAAGGGACCTGAGGCGTATTTTCTTATTTCACAATATATAAAGGCCTCTTCTTTAACTCAGTTATTACAACCTTTCAAAGAGGTATTGTGTTTGTGTACTTATTCTATTATATTATTTGCCTCTTGTATTATTCCGTGGCTCAGTGAGTTAGACGCTTGCTCGCTAACCTAAAGGTCCAGGGTTCAATCGAGAATAAAAGAACCTTCGGATTTTTCAACCCGGATTCCCCCTGTCAGTGATGCAGGTACGAGGGGCTGACATGGAAAAAGCGTCTAGTCGTTCGGATGGGACAATAAACCGAGGCCCCGTGTGCTACAGGCTGTGCACGTTAAAGATCCCTGGACAGTTGGAAATCGAAGAAGAGCAGGCTAATGCCGCTGTCCTGGCAAAATTTTCCTCATTGCACCCTGCATGGCGTTGCCCGTCTTCATTAGCCCACATGGTGCAGAAAAGTAGGACGTAAAACTCCATTCATTTCATTTCATTTTCTTGTATTATTCTGAAATGATTATGAAAGGGGTTCAGGTATAGATTGAGATTTCTAAATACCATCAGTTTTTCAACCCCGCTCAGTGATCCAGATGGTAGGAGATGGTATTGAAAAAATGGGGACAGTAAACCAAGGCCCTGTGTGCTACACGCTGTGCAATTATTTCCTGCACAGTTCCCTCATTGCACACTGCGTGGCATTGCTTGTTTTCCCATTTAGTTGCTGCAGATCAATTCATTTCATTTCTTGTATCATTCAAACTTGTGCTTAATTTTACTATCAGTTATTTCCTTTGCTCTTTTCAGAAGACAAAATTAAATGTAGTTTGTCTAAGCAATGATCCAATTCCCTTTTAGACAAAAATATATCGTCTTTAACCTTTCAATATGATCTTTCATTTTAATGGGCCAACTAAAAAGTGGGTCATATCCTCTAGGTCAGTACACTACAGCCTTTCCAAACAAAGATCTACATATGAGATGAAATTTTGAAGTTGCAAGTTATACTTGATGTCCATGTTTATGTATTTGTAGAAAGCACAAACTACATCATCTTATAAAACAGCACAGAAAGTTTCTGAAGTTTTACAGAGAATATCAATGGGACTTTTATTAAATAATGAAATAGATATGAAAACATTATTAATATTTATACATTCAATTACTGAAGAGAATTTACATCTAACATATAAACAGTAAGTTATTCATTGATGTCAAGCTATTATCAAATTTGTCTTATACCTTGACTGTAATAGATATAAAAAAAAATATTAATATTTATACACTCAATTAGTAATTACTGAGGAGAATTTAGATCTAACATATTAACAGTAAGTTATTAATTGATGTCAAGCTATTATCAAATTTGTCTTATACCTTGACTGCAATAGATTAGTAATTAGTAATTACTGAGGAGAATTTACATCTAACATATTAACAGTAAGTTATTGATTAAGTAATAAATACAGTTGATACTAACTTCACAATGCCAAGCTATTACGAAAATTGTCTTATACCTTGACTGTAATAGCCATCTTTCTTGTATCACAGAATGCAGCTATTTGATTGAATCATCATAGCCAATCATAGTCAAATGTTATAAATTACGTGATTGTTTTTTTTAAGGTCTGAAAAAAAGGCAGAAGACACCTCTGAAATTCAAGAAAGCAGAAGACCTGAGAGTTGTCTTCTCTTACCACCATCAGTGCCTCATGGTATCACTAAACCTAAAATACATAAGAATGCCAATATTCATATAATTGTTGAATTTGGTCTAAGCGTAAGTTTTTTCATACAAATTTTTATACGCCCACATCTCCCTATGTGCATGTATATTGTCGGCACCCCTGTGCGTCCGTCAGTTGGTCAGTCGGTCGGACCGTCTGTCAACATTTGCTTGTAAACGCTCTAAAAACTAGAGTTTTTGATGGAATCAAATGAAATTCGGTATGTGTATACATATTCATAAAACGAAGATTAAGTTCGAATTTGAGCTATTTTCGAACGTTAGAAGCAGAGTTATTGCCCTTGCCCCAAAATCTTGAATATTTACCATCCGCATGCCATGGTGGGCGTATATGGCTGTTGTCCACTATCTTTTGTATTAGGATTAAGAACTAATTAAGTAACTCGCATTGATCATACATTGACAGATAGACACTGTTTTTCAAAATCGCTATCAAGAAGTCGCTTCTAAAAACCTAATTCAAAATTGGCATCACATTCTTTAGCTGATCTATTAGCTTTAAGCTCTTGACAAAAGCAAATGAGGCCTACTTACCCTTATGGAACACCTAATGTCAACATGGTGTTTGTTGACAACCCTTAAAATGAGCCAAGAGCTAATTGTGTTTATTTGGCATGTTTCTATCAGTATTGACTCACACGAAATATTCAGTTCATGAGGTAAAATGTAAATTTCTCATTTTAGATATTGGTGAATTGTCTGAAGAAATTAGATCATAATAACAAAGAACATTTAGAGATGTTAGATCCATTTGTAAATATTATATCTCAATCTCTATTCTCTACTCATATATTGGTTAGTAAATTTATATATACAAATCTTGAATCCATATTGTGTTTTAATACATTGCATTATAATATTCAACTTAATTGATATATGTATATTTGGGTCTTAGACATATATACTGTGAATAAAGATTACTAAGTTTCTTGGGCTTTTTTTGATACAAAATTCATAGATTATGATTTCAGCTTTCTTCATGTGAAAAGAACATTGAAAATTTGACTTTTCATTCAAAAGTTGTGAATATAGTTGTATTATATTATTTAAATTCAATTATGGTTTGGCCATAGATTAACTTCTATCATATTCTAGGCATTTGGTTTATATTGAAAATCTTAGCATAGCATAACTGATTTGCAAATGAAAATTCTAAGTTTGGACCATATTAAGGGACAGTTGTGCCATTCTTTTTGACCAATCAAACTTTAGTCTCAGATAGAGGAATTTTTTAGCTAAGTCAATCAGTAATAGTGTTCAAAGCTCGCCGTCGAAATTTGAGCTTTCAAATCCATGTGTGTCCAGAATTATCTGCGTTTTAATGTTAAAATGACAACCCGCCATTTTAAGATGCTCTGTGATATATATGAAAGACGTATATAGAAATAGTGAGTAAAATTCCTATTTTTAAAGGAATTATGCGATTTTCATACTTTCAGGAATCAAATCAACCCCCAAAATGGCATGTGTTATTTCCAATACATTATAAATTTATTTATTGTAATGATTATATTTTAACAGATAAATACCTACAGTTTAAGATGTCTGACCTATCTATTACATTTCAATTTACCCACATTAAAACTAACTATTACCAAAATAGCTAATGGAATGTTTATTCTATTAAAAAATTATGCTTCTGCTGGGGCTGCTCGTGGTAAAAATACAGAACTTGTCAATGTTTGTTTTAAGGTGAGTCGACATAATACTGTATTTATACATCATATATTTATATAGTTTAAAATTGGTCTTATAGAGCTCAATTTCAGCTATCCACATCACTTTTCATAACGAAAATCTGATTTCCAGTTTTCCTGTCAATAGCTTTTGGCCACTTCCATAACATTCTCATAGGAAGTTATGACAAATAAAATCATGACATTGGTTAAATTAGAGTCTTGATAACAACTCAATAGACTCTGAAGTCTAAATTTCAATGTTATTTTATCATTTATGTGCTTCTTTTCTGCTCCAGCTAATGAATTGTACAATGAGGGGAACTTTGCCATTAGAGCACATTAACCTTTACTTTTATGTTGTTCACATGAATGTGCAAAGTCTGCAACTAACAAGGCCTTTGTTTATTATCTTTATTTTCTGTCCAATCTCAACGTTTTTTCCATACACCTATCACCTAATTCTCTTTATGTAATTTTTGTTTAAAGTACATATTGATAAATTGGATATATATATTGCTAACAAAATTCTTACATTTTCCTTGATATTAACAGGCTGTTACAGTATTAGTAAGAGATGTACCCTATTATAAAATAGATGATGATCAGTTACATGTTTTATTATCATTCTGTGAAGAAGATGTACTGGATTATAACAGACAATCTACAGCTTTCACTTTATTAAAGGTAAATTATCACTCAATACTGTTATTTTTTCAGATTAGGCTTTTGAGTCTAATAGATTTTAGTGAAATAAAAAAAAATGTTTGCAACTTGGAGTAAGTATAAATGTAGACAACGCCATACACAAATTTTAACCACAGGTACTTGTGGACAGGATAGGCTTTGGTGAAGTATTTAATCCTGTTTGCATGTTCATGTGGTTTTAACAAGCCAATCTACCAGCTGGTCCTAGTCATACCCCCGTATTTTTAGTTAACAGAACTAATGAGGAAAAATGAATAATTTAAGGTCACCAGACTTTCATATTATGTCCAATTTAGATTAGAACTCATAATCGCCATTTTTATACACCTTCATAAAGAAGATTAACAATCATTTCTTGTAAGCCATATTTAAATTTCATGTGTCAAATAACTTTATTTAGTATATATTGTTGTGATTTCATATCATGTATAAAATAATTAGATGTAAGTAGAGAAATTCACTGAAGTGCAAATTGTTGATGTATTTATATATTGTATGGTTTGTTGTAGGCTATATTATCTAGAAAAATAAATATAGATGAACTACATGAGTTAATGAATAAAATAAAAGAAATGAGTATAACATCTGATATTGGTAACACCAGAGTTCAAAGTAGACAGGTAATTATCATAGTACTATTACCAAGTCATCTTCTGAAATTAGTATTCCTTGGGTTTATGATATTGATTTAGTGCCTAATGGCTCAATTTGCAATTTCAATCTTTAGGGGTGCTTGGAAAGTAACAAGTTACTATTCAACAGAAGGCACAGGTTTAAAACGTTCATTGTTCAGTGTACAGTGTTCATTACATTACAAGACTATGAAAACTTCAGTGTCAAGCAGAATTGTTAGAAAACTTTACATAGTTTTTACAAATTACAATTTACTTCAGTGTAAGCACCTGATCTTCTTGAAATACACGCACCATAATTTCATTTCAGCTGTTTCTACAATATATGTTAGATTATCCCCTTGGTAAACAAATCATCAAGTTTGTAGAGTATTTCATAGCTCAATTACAATATGACCGTGAAATGGGAAGAGAATCAGCATTAGAGATGGTAGCATCTATTATTACTAAATTTCCTAAAGTAAGTACTAGTCTATTGTTTTCTTTAACCCCTGCCAGATGTGTGTTTGTCACTTGGCAATGTATTGCAATAAATTATAAATCTTCAGGTTTTTCACACCAGATTTCCACCAGTCAGTTATGCAAGTTGGATTGACTAAGATGGAAAATGCGTCCAGTAGTTTGGATGGAACAAAAAACACAGTCCTGTGTACTACAGTCTGTGCACTTCATAGATCCTTCAACAGTTGGAATAATAAAAAAAAATAGATAATGTTGCTGCCCTTGAAATATTTCTTCATTGCATTCTTAATTGGTGTTTGCCTGTCCTTATAAGCTCAAACAGGTGCACTGGTAGTTCCTGTCAGTGTTAAAAGAGTTAATGGTGACTGTGTTATATTAAGGCTACATGTACACATCTTATTGTATTAACACATTATTGTTTTTTTTTGTTACAGAAATTTGTAAATGAACACTGTCAGTTGATATTTATATCTATATCAGCTGTATTAGTTAATGATGAATCAGAGAAATGTAGAAAGTTAACTGCTTTATGTCTGAAAATATTGATAAAAGAGGTAATGTTACTATTATTGATATCATCATTTTTTCAATCATCATCATCATTGTCGAAACCATCAATTATCATCATAGTCATTATCATCGTTTCACTCATCATTATTGTTCACACATCTTTGTATCATCATTGTTTCAGTCATGATAATCGTGATTGTTTCACTCATCATCATCATCATCATTTTTTCACTCATCATCATCATCATCGTCATCATCATTGTTTCTTGAATAAACTTTATGCTGGAATACTTTGTGAAATGCATGTAGTTTGAAAAATTATTATTTTTCAGGTCAATGAAAAGAACAGAAATGAAATGTTTAGTTTATGTATAACATGGTTGAAAGATAAAAAAGTTAGTATTTAATATTGTCTCAAAAATTAATTGCATTTGAGTCAAGTGAGATGTATTAAAGTATATGAAAATGGTTTGATGCATACATCAGAGGTTAAATATTAGAGAGAAACTCTATCATCTGTTTTAGGAATTGATCAAAACTTATGAAATTTGGACTTATTGAAATTGATTTGTATTAATGATTGAGCTTGTGTGCTCATTAAGCAAACTTGAATATATATTTTAATTTTTTTGTTTGTGTAACCTTTTTGAGAAGACCATTTGAAAATCCATGCCAACTTACTGAAATCTTTGAAGATAATACATGTATTTGATATTTTTACTTTAGGTGAGTCATAAATCACTAGCAGCTCAGTTAATAGGATTATTTGTAGAGGTTGAGAAAGAAGATTTTAATCAACGTTTACCAACTATCTTATCATTAATCAGTCAGCAATTAAAATCAAATACCAGCATTAAACAGGTAAGATCTTATTAAGGGAGGGTGTTCAAGACTGACTGACTACATTCTAAGTTTGAACTCTTTGAACTACAATGCAAGGTCCTGTTTCTCGGAAAGTCGTGTTGTATTTTTTAGTGTAAGATGACACAGTTATGATAATATTGCTAACATCTTTGGAGAAACAGGGGCCAGGAGCATTGAATTCAGAGTAAAAGATACCATTGTATGAATGTTTTTAAAAAAAATGTCATGGTTAAGCTGAAAATATGTTCAGAGATGGTTGAGATGTACTATTTTGATCTAACATTGACCCTTTTAATGAAATAACCCTTGAACCAGCAGGCTTATATTCTCATCAAATAAGTCACCCTTCCTACATTTATATCATTAATCAATTCGACCAATCAGAGAATGTGTCACATTTGGTGCATAGGAAAAATGTATGTAGCTATTATGTAAGGCAACCTCTCCTGAATTACTTTTGCATGATATTTAGTTTCAATTGATATTATAATTGGTTAAGTTGGTATAACTAAATCCAGAACTAAAAGATAGTGGACCACAGCCATATACGCCCACAACGGCACGCGGATGGTAAATATTCAAGATTTTGGGGCAAGGGCAATAACTCTGCTTCTAACAGTCGAAAATAGCGAACTTGATCTTCGTTTTATGAATATGTATACACATACCGAATTTCATTTGATTCCATCAAAAAATCTAGTTTTTAGAGCCTTTACAAGCAAATGTTCACGGACAGATGGAAGGGGTGCCAACAATATACGTCCACATAGAGAGATGTGGGCGTATAAATAATGCATGGATGAAAACATTCTTGCTTAATCAAGGGTTAAATGTTAAATCGGCTTGTACTTCCTTTATAGATCATAATAGGTATTTACTAATTGTATGTTAAAGGTACAGTATATATGTTATATTGATGTGTTATATTACAGGGAATATCAGATGATGATATAAAAGAGACTGATAGTTATATCTATAAATTACTCAATACATTAGTTAAAATACTACAAATATTACCTGATATTGTTAAAGAAGATCAGTGGCAATCAGAGTTTAATTCTATATGGGGTAAATACACATTGGAATATTATACAAACACCTTCACCTTTACATTGCATACATTTATTGGCAGACCTTACTCACCCATTTCTTCATCATTTCTTCGACATTTATTCTTTCCAAGTTGAACCATTGGACTAAGAATCGCTTAAGTATCCAAACCATAGGGTTTACGGGATTATTTTTCTTGCTTAGATGATCACAACCTTTCTTGCATCAAAATAATTAAATCTATTTTTTTTTCTGTTATTACTATTCCTGAGTATATTCCATTAGACTTAAAAGATAAAAGACAATTTTCAATGTAAATTGTCTATTTTATTGTAGAAAGTGTAGAGAGTTATTTAGAATATCCACATCATTGGGTGAGATTAGTATCGTGTCAGTTATTTGGTGTATTGTTTAGTTGTTGGACACCAGAAGACCTAGCTAGTATGATAGACAAACAGTCTGGTGATAGTTATATCACATTAGACACAGAAAATAAGGTATGTTTGCTTGAAATTAAGATTAACGTGTATGCGTCCACAATTCTTGTATACATGATAGAGACTTCAGTTTTTATCTGATCTTCATGAAACTTCGTATGCATGTATATATTGATGCGATCTGCATCAAGTTAGAATTTAGTAATAATCAGTGGATCGGTTTTTGAATTATTGCCCTTGACTGACAGCTGATTTTTTTATTTATTGTGTAGATAATAAATCTGTTGTGTTATTTTGTAGATAATAAATCTGTTGTGTTATTTTGTAGATAATAAATCTGTTGTGGTTTTTTGTAGATAATAAATGTTGTGTTTATATTGTAGGTAATATATCTGGTGTATTTATTTTGTAGATAATACATCTGTTGTGTTATTTTGTAGATAATAAATCTGTTGTGTTTATTTTGTAGATAATAAATCTGTTGTGTTTATATTGTAGGTCATAAATATGTTGTGTTTATAGTGTACATAATAAATCTGTTGTGTTATTTTGTAGATAATATATATGTTGTGTTTATATTGTAGATAATAAATTTGTTGTGTTATTTTGTAGATAATAAATATGTTGTGTTTATATTGTAGATAAGAAATCTGTAGATAATATATATGTTGTGTTTATATTGTAGATAATAAATCTGTTGTGTTTATTTTGTAGATAATAAATCTGTTGTTTATTTTGTAGATAATAAATCCGTTGTTTTTAATCTGTTGTGTTTATTTTGTAGATAATAAATCTGTTGTTTATTTTGTAGATAATAAATCTGTTGTTTATAATCTGTTGTGTTTATTTTGTAGATAATAAATCTGGTGTGTTTATTTTGTAATTTGATGAGATCAGAATATTTAGATGATGATTTATTAAATCAGGTTAGTGCTATAATATTTCTAGTCATCATTCTGGTTTAAAGAATGAAATGATAAATCACCATCAGATGAGGAACATTGTACCATAAAATCATCAGACTTCTGGGAGCAAATAAAGTCAGGGAATTTGCAAGTTCAACCAATTATTTTCTTTGACTAGCTATATGTGAAAGGTTCTTGAATATTCATTAATAAAAAGTATATTTGTCAGTACTCTAATGTTTTTATTTGATTAGCATAAGTAATGATGAGCTTCTGTATCTATTTTGTTTTCATATATACATTTTATATCAGTAGAACTTGTTATTAAATACATTTTACTTCCCTTTATAGATTATCAAGAATCAGTTGTATATTGGTAAAATATTAAAATATATTAACACAGAAGAGATGAGTGCTCAAAAGAATGATGATGATGATGATGATTCTGGAAATGATGAACCTGAGTTGACGTTAAAATGGCTCCATGTTAAAATGATACACGAAGCCAATGAAGAAATTGCAAATAAATTTAGTAAAGATACATTCAAGGTAAATAGATGCTTTTTTGAAAATCTGTATTGCTATGTCAGCCATTCTCTGCCACCCAAAGTAACTTCTTAGTAATCACATGAACAACTCATAGTGACAAAAACTGAATAATCAGGAACAGATCAATGCAAAGAGGTTTGACTAAAACCAGCTGGTTGACAAGATAATTATGAAAATCGGTAATTATCTTGGTTAAATATGAATAATTTTTTTTGTGTGTACATGAAGTGTCATAATGATATTAAATACAACTGTTGAGATGTAAAATGCTATATGTGTGTGTTGTATTACAGCGTGTTGGTGTATTAAAATGGATTGGTGGTATGATATCTACAGTCACTTCACAACAATTATCAGTGATATTACCAGTCATAATGCCTTTATTACATAGAGAGTCTACTATAGGATCAGGTGAATTATAGATTATATATCTATTATAGATTATATATCTAGCTCTTCATGCACTAGGTCATTAAAATACTTGTCCAAGCTAAAGTTTCTGTGATATTATTATATATTGAGAACACTACATATGGTGCTACTTGGAATTCATTTTATTTCATTTCTTCAAAATGTAAATTTTGTCACTATCATCACTATACAGTATCAAAAAAATACACATATACATACGGACATATTAAATCAGTATAACAAGATTTTAAAAAGAGAAGAAATTATAGAAAATAATAGCTAATTATTCTGAATTTTCAGATGAAGAATTAAAGAAATTAGCTGATGAAATATTAGATATGATTAAAAAGAAAGTTCCTATTGAACAGTTTTCACGAGTATTTTCCTTTGTCAATAATAAAAGAACTGATAGAAGATTAGAAAGAAAGAGAAAGAGAGCTGTTCAGGTAATCCTTATAACTATGATTTTGTATGGACATTAGGAATCCTGGTGATAATATATTTTGACAAGTGTAACTTTGGTTTTTTGCTGTAAGCTCTTTATCTAAAGTTGTATTAGTTTTTTTTGTGTATTCATACATCATAGATGTTTATATGTTTGAGTGGTCCTTTTCTCAATCTATCCATCATAAATATCTGCTGAATGATTTGGAAGTTGACAAGCAATTCTTGAGTTACTGCCCTTGACTTAAGATATAACCTCTATGTTCAAGTGATGGTTGCTCAGGTTACCGTCATAGATTCATGATTAAATCAGATTTTAAATCATTCCAAATTGAATATAATTATTATGAGCAATTTCTAAAAGATAATTTATAATAGGTTACTGTTCATGTACATGAAAGATAAAAGGATTGTTTAGAGGTTTTGTATTGGGGACACTGATAGCATCAATTTGCACCATTCCATTCCAATATAAACTTTAAATTTCAGATGATAACTAATCCAGCTCAAGCTACAGCCAAGAAAATTCAAGATAATGTACAAAGAAAACTAGCTAAAAGAAAACATACATCAGTCAGTCGTTATAATACATTAAAACAACCATCCAAGGCTAAGAAATTTAAAAGAAAATGAAGTTTTTGCTCGTATGATCAGGATTTGTATATTAAAAGATTAAATAGATATATTGCTTTTTCACTCTCTGTCAAGCTCATCTCATATGTAATCATTCTCAGTTTAAAAAAATTCCCAGTGTCTCATTATTGGCTATTAAGAAAGAAAACCTTCACAAATTAACAATAAAGACTTTATCTTTATTTGTGAACTATTTTACAGCACTGGTATGATATTGCACATTTTACCACTGACATTAAAGAAAACAAATCCGCTATACAATAGCTTTTATCTTGAAAAAATCTCAATTTGAGATTTTGAAAAAGAAATGGTTACAGTTCAATTTAAGTGGTATCCCATAGCATTTTGCGATTCCAAACGACACCTTTTGCAATATTTAACCAAATCTAAAGATATATAGCAAATCTACGAACTAACATCATTGACCAGATCTTTTTGAAGTACTTGAACATTTTAAATTGATAGAAATGATTGCAGTTGACAATAAGATGAGAATAAGATTGTCAAATTGATTAAAAACCACCTATGATTTTTCTTACGACAGATTGAATAGAATTTTGAACTTGTTTGACTTATTGCTTATATCCAATTTAAATTATAGAAGTCATCGTTAATTTGATGATCTGCAGAATACTTTTAATTGCGAATGGACCAGGTAAGGCGTCAAGTGAGGGATTATCAATTTAGTATAGAAGAAGTGCATTGTGTGTATAGACCTGTACCAAGTGTGTTTGCTACTTTCATTTTCTACTGCACTAATCATCCTGCACTTTATCTTGACTATTCACATTTTTATTGTGAAAACAGGCTTTTAAAAAAGAAAAACAATTAAACTAAATATAATTTACATAATATCACAGGTAAGGCTTGCCTTCATTAAATAAGTCTAAGCAATAGAACAAAATATTGAAGTACCTTCTTAAAGGTGTGGTACTTACCAGCTTTATATAAACAGGTTGACGAAACTATGTATGGTTCTTACGTGGAAATAAAGCCCAAAACCAAATTGAGAAAAATAAGATTCTAAAAGAATGATTACCATACAAAATATACATCATAATCACAGGTGACTAAAAACGTAATTCAATCAAATAAATTAAAAGATCTTATAACAATATTTATATCATATAAACAAAATATACTAACAATATTAGGATAGAACAACAAAAGAGCTCTGAAATAGAAAATGCTCAAATTTTGTATAAGACAGCTTCAAGAAAACTGAATGAAATTTAAGGAAGTTTATAACATTTTCATTATTTCAGAATAAGGACCATTACTGTTTCTTACAATAAGAAATCATTCAAATTGAACTATATCTTCATAATATATAATCTGATACCAACTAAATATCATCACAAAGAAGAAGTAAGCAAATAGACCAACAGTTCTGACAATATACCAGTATATGTCCACATAAAGAGAGACAAGCATAGGTGTGTATATCAAAAAAGATGGCATTTCAATCTGAATATACAATTTTATTTTTGTTGTTCCATCCTAAATAATATGATTATTTTCACTTTCTATGAAATTGGACAAGTTTATCATTTGATTGTAATAAAATCCGTTGTAAATTTGTCATAAAAAATTGACAGTAACTTTAGTAAGACACCATTAAGCCAAATGCACTTTTATTTTTGTAAATATGCAAATGTATTAGAATTATTCGATACTGTAACCACCATAACCTATGAGAATTGAGACAATTTGTCTGAATAAAAAGTGAAAATAATCCAATTTCTTTAATAATTGTATGAAATTCATTTTCATCATAAATCATCTTCTTCACTATTTAAAACAATAACTCTATCACGATTTGTTTTATTCAAAACTTGTAACGAGGAACTCTCTAATGTGGAGATTAAAAACTGATCAACAGTTCTTTCAGTACATTCTGCTATAAAACGTATAAATGGACGTATATCACCATTATTAGCAGTGTCTATAAACTCATAATATCTTTGTCTATCCTGAACTTCTATAGAAACTGGAGGAAAACCAGCCTGCATGAGAATTAAATTCATTAACAACCTTGAAGTGCGTCCATTTCCATCGTAGAAAGGATGAATTATAACTAACTTATAATGTGCTAAAGCAGCAAGTTCTATGGGATGTAAACTTAGCGTTTCTTCAGAATTCAACCATTCTAGAAACTGGTCCATTAAAATATCCAAATCTTCTGGAGGTGGAGGAGTAAAATCACCTACAAAGACTTGAGTTTTCCTATATCGTCCTGCTTCTGTGGGATCCACAAATCCTAAAACTCTTCTATGGATTTCTAATAGATTATCAACAGTTAACTGTCCTATGGCACCTAATAATGTACTATTTACAAATCTCAAGGCAGCGTCTAGACCTAGCACTTCATTCTGTTCAGCTAAACTTTTCCCACCAATGGCGATCCGAGTTTCAACAATAGATCTAGTTTGAGACAGAGTTAATGTATTTCCTTCAATAGCATTAGTATGATAGATATGAGAGAAATAAGCTTCTTGCTTCATTCTTCTCAATCCGGGATGATTTGAGGGCACTTTATACAAACGGTCTCTTTTTTTATCAATTCTATTAAATCGCTTTTGGTCAATTTCTTCTACAATGGGCTTAGTTCTCTCTGTATTTTCCAAGGCTTGTTTATGTTTAGGACTAACTATTAAGGCCCTATTATACATCATATCAGCCGTCACAATATCTGATTCATGTTGTTCTACTAATTCACCATATGCTATCAATATGTCTGCATGGAACGGATCTAATTTGATTGCATGCTGTAGTACTTTCAATGCCTTTTCATTTTTATTCTGTTCTTTTAATTCTAAAGCTATGTGAAGAGCTGCAACAGCTTCTTTCTTTACATCTGAAACATACAATCATAAAATTAATCAGTGTCATTGACAGAGAACCCAGAAAGAAATTAAATAGTCCTAAATGATGCTGGTAGTGTAACTTGGATATTTAATAATTTAAACCTGTCAGCTTTTCACTATAGTGAAAGATTTATGTACGGTACAGGTTTTTAATTGATTAATTTAAAGATACTTAGGGGAGTAAACCACTTGAGGAAGAAACTGAAAAGGGGGGAGGGGGGCGAGTCACACTACATGCCATAATTTAAAATGCCATTATTTATATTAATGGTGGTAATGTTGCTCCTTGTGACTTACTAAATAAATTGTCATAGAAAGGACTTTTTCTAACTAGGATCGGACAGTAGACTTAACAATCACATACCTGCATTAATTGGAACATGATGCCTTATTCTACGAGCTAAAGAAGTGTCTCCATGATATGGAATAAATGGACTGGCTTGTGCTGGGTTTCGTAATCCAAGCAGACCAATCCCGATTCCCGTACTTTCGACAACATTTTGAAAGTTTTTCAGTGGCAGCCATGTCTGGAATCCACGAAAAAAGTTAGACCATAAAATAAGAAAAAGTAGAAATACAACACTAATCAAAAGATATTTTGGAATTACGAATTCTGACTTTTTATACATCATAACTTTAGAAATAACATTTTTGACGTTTCTTTGCTTTTGACACGAAAACAATGCCGCCATCTTGTTTCCGGTAGATCATTCGGGCCACCTCGGCTTTTATTATCAGTTCTGTTCGATTCGACCTTATCTTTAAAAATAAATTCATTTTTCACGCCAAGTTTCATCAAAATTTGAAAAAATGGATAGTAGGCTTGACTTTTTTCTTTTTTGAATGAAGTGAAGCACAGCTTCTGCGGTATATCCTCACTATGGGTCCCAAAGCAGGTGTTTATGTGTCCCCTTGAGCTAGGCTGCTCCTGTTTGGCTGAATTGGGTGGAGGGTGATAACATGTCGACAGTATAAAGATCTCGATTTTGCTAACTTGTAAGTGGTTGTATCAATCAATTCGTGTGTAATATTTCCCAAAGACTTGAAAGAATGTCATTGCTTGTTGCTGCAAAGTGTCTCTTCGGGAAAAAACGTTTTTACCCAAGCCTCGCTAAAGTTTAAGCGTTGACCATTCCAGTGGCCGTCACTAGCCGTCACGTGTTGAAATAATTATATAAACACATGAATTAGTGTTAAGCTAAATCGACGGATTTCATATGTAAGCTAGGCCTTGCTACGACCTACGTAGGCCCTATGCATTTATAACTTAGAGCTAGTTATTTTCTCTGAAAATGAAATGGTCACACTACGCCCCTGCATGCGGAACCCATATTCTTTAGATTAGAGGGATTGCATTTTTTCATCGAAATTCTTAAAATGTTTTATTTTAATTGAGCAATGATAGCTTTACAGAAATCTGGTAGATCTTGTGGTAGTCTAGAAGTTATCATATTACCATCTACAACCACCGATTTATCTTCATATAAACCTCTAAAATATACAACATATTAAAATTATATTAAAACTTTAGATATACTTCCCCACTTTATTTGTGTCGTCTCACAATAATTTCATATCTTAAATTTGTGATTTGTTCTTCATAAATATCAGATGACCCCAAGAACACACGTAACATGATCTGACTCGTACAATATCAAAAGGTGATAAACATTAGTGCAGTGTTATTCTCGTATCATAATAATAGTAATATGGTGTTATATCTTATGATAAAAAGGGACAACAAGCAATATAATTAAATGATTTTACCCTGCATTCTCAACATCGTCTTTTATTGCTGAAAAACACGTTAATTTTTTCCCTTTTAGAATTTTAGCCGAACAAAACATCCAGGCACCGTGACATATTGCTGCTATAGGTTTCCCTGAAATACAACCATATTTTAAAACAGGGCATCAATTGTTTTATAATTATTTGGCAGCATTACTATTAAGGATTCCTTAAGATTCCAAATTAAATTGCTAAGGATATTCGAAGACAAATAAGCGAGAAAAAATTTTCACCAGGCGATTCGTCTACAATCAAGTGGAAGGCTTCAGACGTGACATACTGTTAAACTCTTTCAGACATGTTAATTTCCATTATTGCTTGTTTTAAAACTTTTTTTTTAAGATTACAACATAAGGCGATTAATATTCAAAAGAAACTCATACTGATTATAACTCACCAGATTCATAAATACCTTTTACCAATGACAGGAAACGCTGATCTCGTCTCCAGTAGTCAGGAGCAAATCCTCCAGGAATAATCAAAGCGTCTAAATCCTTTAAAAGACAGTAATGGAAATCCATTATCGTGATAAGAAAATTAGTTCTAGGGTGGAGGTGGGGGGAGGGATGGGCATCTTTACAATTTCAACCCTTTTTCGAAATGAGCTGCATTCAATAACTTGGCATCATTCGACACTTCTTATAATATCATGGAATGCAACGATTTGATTGGACGCTTAAGATCAAAGCCCTCAACAGATAAAAAATATGGCTTATTGTTAACAGGCTTTCTGGTGAGAGCTCTGAATGGCTGCATTCTCTAGCGAACAATCCAATCAAATCGCTGCATTTACAAACTTCTATGGTGCAAGAAAAGTAGCTGATGATGTCATGATATTAGACGCAGTTGACATCGTGAAAATGGGACAGAGTTTTGGGATCAATTAAGCATCTGTATAACATGCAACATTCTTGCTGTGCACAACGTTTGCTTTCTAATATCATAGTACTAATACATCCTCAGTTCAGCCAATGTAAAATACTGAAAGGTTGTATAGTCTAAAAAATCCTAGTAGTAAGGCCTAGAGTTCCAAAAATTGTGCCCTTGCCTCGTTTTATTACATTTAGAAGTGAAAAATGAATCTGATTGAATGATGACGCTCTGTGGAGTCTTGCCAGAGAAAAAATCGGCGACAAACATCAAACTGGTTTTGAGGTTCAAAATCCTGTCGGAAAAGCGATAAGGTTGTCGTGGAAGCGCGGGCAAACGTAACATTTTACTTAAGATTTGGGTCGGTGGCATTAGGGGGTGTAAAGTCCAAAGTCTACAAACCTCTAATTTGATTTCATCAATACCATACGCTGCTTTACATGGGTAAGAATGTTTACTATTATATACTTTATTTTTCTCGGGTCCTATGGTAAATGTCTCGTGACCTTCCTCTCGTAGTCTGTAATAGGGGTACCATAGCTAAAAGTAGAAATCTTGAATGTAGCCTATGGCTTAGATTTCAAAATCGATTCATTTGCATGAAAAAAAAAAAATTATTTAACAATCTGTTCAGTCTAAATGAAGGTCATATTGAATGTCATCCGGTAAAAGTACAAATGAAGATTTAAAGATACGGGTGACATATAGAATATTGGATGGCTTTTGGCTATTTGCCACGCCTGGTAAATATCTCCTGCCAGATCAGTTCTATATTGCGATTCATACTCAAAGTAACATTTTCAAATTTTACATTATTTGTCTAAGAATGTCTTCGGATAAATATGATATGGTTTGCTAATTTTACAATGTAGAAACAAATAAGGTATTCTGTCCCATAAATTGCAAATAAAATGACCGGGCCGCTTATTTAAGACAGAAAGTTCTTGTCAATTTGTAATGGATATTTCAATACTTAAAAATATATCGCCAAATACTGTTACCTCTACGTTAATAGTGAAAGAGCAAAATGCTATATTACGTATTTTACAAATTGTGCAATAACATAGTACTACAAGTAAAACACTAAACACGGGTGAGATGGAGTAGGAACAAAAAACGAGAGTGTCCGAATGAATATGCAAAAAGTAATGGAACACAACTGATAGTTTCTTCGTGTTAGATTTTCTCTGTATTTTCTTGCAAATTATGCATTACCTCGAGATCTTCATAGTTAAATTCAACCAGTATTCCAATCTTTTTAGTCTGCGACATTTTCTAAACACTGTTTTATCTTAATAAAATCAAAACCAGGATATTTATTGTTGTGACAATGGCCCGATTGACTAGGGTACTTTCAACGAATTCTCAACATTTAGTCCGAAGTATTACTACTTGTTGTCACAGTTTCATTATGAAATTTTGCGACAGTTTAAATTCCACAATGTGTAAGATGAGAGGAACTCGGGAACGGAAAAACAAACTACACATAATTTTGAAGAAGACACAAATCTTAAGACCACACGGTCGCATATCTTTCAAAGCAACCTCTATCAAGTTAAAAAATTAGTATGAATATTACTGATAGCATCGTACAAATTTAGAGAATCACGAGCTGGGAAATTTGTTATAGGACTAAAGTGCAACAGCAGCCACTCGGTTCTTAACTAAGCTTATTCTACACATTGATGAGTTAAATTTGACACAGTTATCATCAGACATATCCTTTACGAACTTCGCACTCACTAACCTGAAGGTCCAGGGTTCAATCCCGGCATGGGTGGAGATAACACCTTCAAGAATTTGCAATCTGGCAAAATGTCACTTAAAGTGATACTACGTCTTAGAATGAACATAAAAATTAAGTTCTCGAAATGGTCAATATGAGTATATTATATTCATCAGTTAAATTACCTGGTGTCATAAAGTTACAACAGAATCTCTGTAAAATTGGAAAATTCATAAAACTAAGTAATTATTGAAAACGCGTAATCTTGATATTAAGCGTTTTTCAATAGTTAATTGCATATTTATGGATAATTACTAAGTTTTTTTTTACTTTATCGGATTATATAAGGATCTTGTTATGTTATTTATGACACCAGGTATATCTACTGGCTCTTATTCGCCAAGTTTAAAATTCTTAAATATTATGTTAATTCTAAGATGTATTATCACTTTAATGCACCCTGTATAGTTTTGCCCGTCTTAATTAGCCCAAACGATGCAGAAAAGTAGGATGTAAAATTCATCTCATTTTATATGCGCAATTGTTCGGATTAATTTTACCTAAAGAGTGGTCCGATTAATCATCGGTCCGAATTGTCTTTGGTCCGAGTTGTCCTTATCCAGCTGGGTTCACTCTATTAGAATGAACGAACTGAATGTTACTAATTTTAGAGCGGATGTCCTTCAGTAGTCCGCTACAGCACGTGTTATACAATCGAGAGTTGTTATGGCAGGTAATACGGCAGTTGATGAAAATAAAAAAGCTGACGACACGTGTGTGGATGCAGAAAATAATCGCCAAACTAATGAAAGCATGAAACCCAAAGACGAAGGTAAGCAATTATATAAAAATTAAGTGAAAAGAACTTGTGGAATTTGCACAGTTTCTGAAAACATTTCGCGGATGCCAGTTTTATTCGGTTTGCACCGACTAAACGAAATCCGACCGAAATTATATAATGAACATGTAAACCTATACATGGCATTCTTATTTTTGAAATCATATTTGTAACTGCTTTTTTGTGTAATATTATGCACTGACACGACTATGCTAGAATTTGGTATTCAGTGAAGAAAAGCTCTTCAAGAAAAGTGGTTCAACAATTGAGACCAATGTCAAGTCCGAAAGAATGAATATCGGTGTCAAAGGTCATTCGGTAAAATATTAATTAAAGTCGATTTGCAACGTTTTTTGCATTAACCTTTCGCCCTTTTAAGACCACTGTATGCATCTCACTTCTTCTTGTTTTTTGTGGGCTCGAACATTACATGATATCAAAGATTTTTGCTGATATTGAAAAATATTTTGTAACCTATTTTCAAGGTTGAAAGGTCAATAAATATAGTCTCACGCAATAATACAGTTTTATAACAACCTAAACCAGCTGATAATATTCTTTTAACTGTTACATCATTATATAACATTAAGTAGTTTTCCTCCAGTCTTCTTAGAGATAATGCTCATATTGATTAGATTTGACTGTAGCCTACCTATCATTCAAAATTTAGTTCACTTACTCCCAGTCCTGCCTGATCCTGATGTCCATTAATTTTTGTTGTACGGGGTACCAAGTTGAAAAAATCTTTGGGATTTAAATAATAATTCATACCCGTACTGGCATTTGCAGGCTTTTAATTCTTAAATTTCACAGACCTAAAACGACAGTTGAGTCAGAAATTCTTAGTTTGAAATGTGGGTCATTTTTGCAAGAAATATTTCTTTTGTAATTTTAGCTTTAAGGCATACTTTTCCGCTCCAGGTGGGCTAATGAAGACGGGCAATGCCATGCAGGGTGCAATGGGAGAAATTTTGCCAGGACAGAGGCTTTTTCGATTTCCAACTGTCGAGGGATCCTTAACGTGCACAGCCTGGAGCACACAAGGCCTTGGTTTATAGTCCTATCTGAATGACTAGACGCTTTTTCCATGTCAGCCCCTCTTACTTGCAAACTTGGTTGAAAAATTGACCTATGCAGAGATCGAATGTAGGGTGCATTTAAAATCTGATGATTGATGTTGTTTCTCATTGACGTTTCCCTGTTCTTGAAAAAAAAAAATTGTAAGGTGTGTATCATATACTGTCACTAATTTTTTGGGAAGGTTAACATGAGGTATATCATGTATAGAATGTTTTTATACAACACATTAAGGAAAAAATGAATTCTCAACAGGGTTAAGTACTGGTACTGAAAATATATCCAATACTGGCTTAGGGCGCAGTACCAATTTTTGAGTCACCAATTGGTAATAAAAGTCCATATGAAACAATCATTTACTTTTTTGAAGTGCCTAACTGATGTCCAGATTTTTATCGTAGCCTAGTTCAAAATAATACATACTTTCAGATTCGTCAGTATTGGGGATGATTTGAGTCTTGAATATATGTAAATCGTTTTCAGAAATACTAGAACTGCACAAATAGCATAATTCCTTCAAACTATTTTTTTCTATTTCTATATTATGTCTTTTCTATATGGCAGAGTCTCAAGAAAAGACGAGTCATTTTAATGAAAATAATTTTGGACACACAATGATTCGAAAGCTCAAATTTCGTTGGTGAGCTGTGACTACGATATTAAAGGGATGTTAAAAATGTTCCTTTAAAGAGTTTTTATTATATGTAAAAAGCATGACTATTGAAGTTATTGAGCCATCATTTGTCAAAGAGACAAAATCCAGTGCAGTGTTCTCTTACAAAGTTATGAGTTATTGTTAATAAAAGCTTATATTATGTAGAATGTGTTCAAACATGACAATGCATGTATATACCCTTAATTAGTATTTAAGTCAGATCCTTGTAAATTAGGTGATAAAAAGGCTGCTAAAGATAGGGTCTGCTAGGTTTTTCATTGTTCTCATTTAGTGAAGTGTTTAATTCCATCAGTTACCTTTGACCTTTTAATAACCAGATGTTCAGATCAGATTTCTACTTACTGGTATGAACATCAATGTGCTTTTTATTCTGTTTCAAATATTTTCATTTCACGTGGTTAACATTTGCCAAGGGTTTTCTTGACTGTGGCTTAACCATACTGATATGTTTCAGTGCACTATGACATACATATTTTTATTGAACCTAAAGTAAAATACTTAAGTTGAATAATATATAAATTGCTATAGAATACTTTTTAGGACATTCACATTTATATTAGTTCTTTATATTTGAAACATTCTGGTCCCCCTCATTTTTAGGACTTTTCTTTTTTCATAGTCTTTCTTGATCGAACTTTTTATACATTCTACTATGTGACAATTCAAATCCATAAGCTTATTGCATAGGACTTCAACAAAGCCTTAACAAAAACAAAATGGCACAGAAAAAGTTTTGTTGTACAATGTCCACTGAAAGTCTTTTTTGGTAAACACATTTTGCATTCCTTGAAAAAAAAAAAATTTTACATCTGATATTTTCGTGTACTTTTGTAAAAAAAAAACCCAAAAAACATTTTACATCTGATTTTTTCGTTGACTTTTGTAAAACAAAAAACATTTTACATCTGATATTTTCTTTGTCTATAGTACCTTTATTAAAGAGACTGTAAAGAGGTTTTCTGAATTTTTTCCAATTTTCAATCAGACATCTGTGGTTCCTGCAACTCAGTCAACTCACTAATTACAAAATATGCTTTATCACTTAAGGCCCTTTGCAATTAGTGACATCATCAAACACTTGGTTTTAGTGAAATTGCAGGAACCACAACTGTCTAATTGAAAATTAGAATAGTGTAAATTGATATCAGTGTCCCAGATCTCTTTACAGTCCCTTTAAGTAAGTAGTTGTAGTGTAATAACTTAATAATTACCATTTTTATTCAACATGGTTCTTGTCAGTACAAATAAACTGGACATGTTTTCTTTAGGTTACTTTGACTTTGATGCCTTCTGTAGCTCCTTATCTGTCAAACAGCTGAAATAAATTGCTCTTTGACCTATACACAAAGTGTTTTCATTTAAAATTGTTTATTGGACATGCTGTCATAGTCACTTCAAGTTGTCAGGTCCTGGTATTTTACTGATATATAAAAGAAATAAACTTTGAAAAACCAATGGTATTTTTTCACAAAATTCTTATATAAGGGCATTATGTGAATCATTTGTGATAAAGTATTTTAATTCAGTTTCTGACCAGGTTATTTTCTCCTCTCTCAAATGGATATATTTGGTTTGGTTTAATTGTGGGTGATTCTTCTCTTGCCATCCATCATCTAGGAATGGCATTTCCTCTAAGAAATATAACCAATCAAATATTCCATTTAATAAAAGATTTTAGTACCATACGGTTCTATATGTAGTAACTTCTGGGATATTCATTTTGAAGCTTATGGACAAAATCAAACTGATCAGGACTTAAAAGGACAGGTGTGCCATTCTTATTGACCAATCATACTTTAGTCTCAGAAACATGATTTTTATTTACCTAAGCCAATTAGTAAAAGTGTTTATAGCTCACTGTCAAAATTTGAGCCTTCAAATCCATGTGTGTCCAAGAATATCTGCCCTTGAATGATAAAATGATGACTTGTCATTTTAAGATACTCTGTGATTATAGAAAATGCATATATATATATTGTGTAAAATTCCTAGTTTGAGATATTTTTGAAGAAATTCTGCAATTTTCGTACATTTCTAGACTAAAATCAACTCGCCAAAATGCCGCATCTGTCCCTTTAAAAGAGAAATGTGTCAGATCAAGGATGTCAAAGTCCTCTTTGCTACAGCGAAAAAATACAAAATGAAACATCTAGATCTGTAACTGAAATGGATAGAAAATATTATGTACGCTGTATTGTGTCTATGTTAGAATCTACTTCTCATTCATAAAATTTATAGACCATTTTTTTTTTTCAATTACAGAAATAAGTGTTGGTAATAAAGAGGACAATGAGGCTGTATGTTGTAAAAATGGAGATGGGGAGGAGAACAAAACTACTGAAGAAAAAGATTTACAAGAAATAGTCTTGATACAAGACACTGGATTTACCATTAAAATATCACCACCAAATGTAGAAGCTTTTGAACTTCCTGTAAGTTATATTGACTCTCTGTATAATATATTTTTTCCATGTATCAAAATTACATCCATTGCACCATAGAGACATTATCCTGTCTAACATTCATCCCTTGGAAAATAGTTTTGAAAGATCAATTGAAATATTTAAAGTGATACTATGTCTTAGAATGAACATAAAATTTAAGTTCTCAAGAATGGTCAGTATGAGTATATGTATCCTGGTGTCATAAAGTTACAACAGAATCCCTGTAAATTCTGGAAAATTGGAAAATTCCTATCACTAAGTAATTATTGAAAAACGCTTAATGTTAATATCAAGCGTTTTTTAATGGTTAATTGCATAATTACTAAGTTTTTTGGGTTTATAGGATTATATAAGGATCCTGTTATGTTATTTATGACACCAGGTATATCTACTGATGAATATATGTTCATATTGGCCAATTTTAAAATTCTTAAATTTCATGTTCATTGTAAGACATATCACTTTAAATTCAAGATAAAGCTTAATGCTTATTACTTGTGTTAAATTTGATGAAACTACTATGTCAAATTGTAGGTCAATTTACCCATACATTTGAAATGATATGAATTTTACATTATTTCAATAAAAAATTAAAAGGGATTGTAACAAGGTTTTTTAAATTTCTTATGTGTGCACTGATAGCATCAGTTTTTCAATCAGATGTCTGTGGTTCTTGCGATTCCACTAAAACTAAGTGTTTGACGTTACCCTCGTGAAGGGCCTAATGCAACAAAGTGTATTTTGCAATAAGTGACGTTATTAAACATTTAGTTTTTGCAGAATTTCAGGAACCACAGATGTTGACTGAAAACTTGAATGGTGCGAATGGAAGCTATCAGTTAGATCTGCGCTACACTTCAAACATTTAGAACACCTCTTAACAATCCTTTTAATGAAATTATATCACAATGTAAAAAACTTTTACATTTGAAGCAGCTAATTATGTTGCATATTTTTTCTCAGATTGCAAGGAAGTCTCTTAAATCTAACAAGAACCATATTGCAAGAAGAATTTTCTCTGCTGGAGTATCAGATTATTGTCAATTGCCACCTGATTACTTTAATAACTGTATCTGACAAACTATATACAGTTACACAGATACCTGAGAAGTAGCTCAATTTTGACCATGATAGGGATAGATGTTAAGAAATAGCTAGTTTTCTAAAGATTTTTTTGATAATGATGAAAATTTAACTTCTAAATTATTTTGTTTTCACATTATGAACTTTTGAATATGATTTGGAGAAATTTGTTGTGTAGAGTGAAATAACTATTTCAAAATTAAAATCTATTATTGTCTTGTCTAGCATAGTGCTGGTATGATATATCGGTGAATTGATGTATTGGATACAACATGCCATGATACGTGTATCGTATCACAACGTTTGTATTGATGCTTAACGATACTTTTCACACCATAAAAAAGCAGAGATTTTTATGAGTTGTTTTATGATACAACCATTTTTTTCGCTGAAATTGGTAAAAACTTTTTATTAGACAGTGGACACAACTAATTATTACAATAAGTTATGAATTAATATATGGAAACTTTGAAGATTAAATATTAATTTTTATCCCATTTACCCATATCACAATATGTATCGTATCGTGACCCTTGTATCGCGATACGATGCATATCAGGGCATGATTGCAATACCAAGCACTAGTCTAACAAATCTTATTAATTTTGATCAAATAATCTTTTTGTTTTTAAAGGTGAGTTCAATGGAATTGGTACAAGAGATTTATCAGGTATTGATGGATAGAGAAGATACATGTCATAGAACCTGTTTCTCTCTACAGCTAGATGGTGTGACATTAGATAACTTCTCTGAATTAAAGTCTATCGAATCTTTGAAAGAAGGTTCTGTTGTCAAAGTTGTAGAAGGTGAGTGGATAGCAAATAATTCACATCTAGCACTTGAGAATATTATTGAATAAAGGTGTCATTAAAATACGGGAGAATGCAATGCTAATAAATGTGATTCTTCTGCATTTTAAACAAAAAAGTCTTTGACTCTAGATATATTAAAATGAAGATTGCCTGTTAACGATTATGAAATATAAGGCTTACAATTAATGTTCAAATAATAAAGAAAAAACTTGGCTTTTAGTCGAATGATTTATTTTGTTGAATTCTTCCTTATTGCTACGGTCATCTTCACAATGTCAAGCTATTATAAACTGCGTCTTATACCCTGACTGCCATAATAACCACTTTTATTATAATATAGAATGCAGCGATAATTGGATCTTACACTTGAGAGTACAGCCAATGAAATTGTCGCATCTACAAACTTCTTTGATACAATAAATGTGGCTATTGTAATCAAGGTATAAGACAAAGTCTGGTTTCACCATAAGTCTGTAATAGCTTGATATTGTGAAGATGTGCTATGTCATTTATGCATTGAATATTTGTACTTTGTTCAACTTTCATTAGACACCTGTTGATACAGTTTGTCTATGAACAACTCTGGCACAGGTGACTGAAATGATTTAAGAATCTCATCATTTAAGGAAGTGATGACAAAATTCAGGCACTAACTTAATCTTCTGTACAGATATTGAATTTTGGAGATCACTGCTGGATACTACTAGTTAAGAAAGAATTGTTATATTGAAAAGAAAGAATTGTTATATTGAAATTAAGCTATCTCACAGTGTGTATCCTTATCAAATAAGCTTCTTATCTTCTTGTAGAACCATATTCTATTCGGGAAGCCAGGATACATGTACGTCATATTAGAGATTTATTGAAGTCTTTAGACTTGGCTGATGCTTATAATGGATCAGATTGTATGTCTTTATCCTTCCTTAATACTGTAACAGCACCTGATGTTGTAGGTAGGTTGCAGATTATCTTGGTCTGATTAAGGTTTTATGTGGGCGGAATAAGGAAGAAGGGGGGGAAGGGGGAATGAAGCATAGTTAAAACTGAATGTTATGGTTAAAACTTTTATTAGTTATGAATGAATTTATAAATCAAGGATTACTGCCTCTATTGATATTTGTGGGAGATCGAAGAATTATTACAATTTTTTTTAGAATGGATGGATCTGCATACCAATGAAAGAATTTTTTTTTTAAGAAGCACTGGCCTAGGTCACAAGTAGAGACTATAGATTTCAGCATAAGAATACATCGATTTGATAGATTTATGAATATAACTACACAAATCATTCAGATATGTAATGTGATTTACAATGTTTTTGATGAATAATTTTCCAGAAAAAAAGAAAAGTAAAAGTGAATCAATTGATTGTACACCTCCAGATTATATTCTACCTAATAATAAAGAAAGACCACTCTTACCATTACATCCTGGTGTTAAAGAACAGAAGGTAAGAATTGATCAGACAAAAAAGGAAATATCAGACAAAAAAGGAAATGCCAAGTATTATTCTTAGAATCTTAAAATCAATTTGATGAGGTTACAGACTGTACCAAATCTTTGTCTAGGTGCTATAACAAACTTTGTTACTTTTCTAGGCACCACAATGTTTAAAGGTATTAACATATAGTGGATGGAACCCACCTCCTGGCAATAGAAGAATGCATGGTAGGTTAAATTCCAAAATTGTATTTTCTAAACTCAAGATTGAATTGTTCCAACCAAATTTTCGTCTGATCTTAGAAATATCATTAAAAGTCAGAGAAAAGAATTCTTTTGTTTAATATGTTGTATATTTTTATGGTCTAAGCAAAATCTGCCCATATTCATTCTATTAAGTTCTTTGTATATGAAATTGAAGTCCACATAGTGAAAACTCAAATGTTTGCTTTTCCTTTGATTTGCAGGTGATTTATTATATCTGTATTTAATGACATTAGAAGATAAAAAATTCCATATCACAGCATCTACTAAAGGTTTCTTTATCAACCAGTAAGCATTGCCTGTTATTCTTTTTACCAATTATATAATAAAAAAAGATGTACTATTCGTGTTCATCAAATTTGCATGTTAACAAGTCCTAAGTATACATGTTGAAATCTCTATATCCAAACCAGTAAATATGAAGTGATGTTTGTATCTGTAACAGCACTGATGACTATCAGTTTTGAATTGTTTACATCTTTTACAGTTCTACAGAAATAGATTTTAATCCACAAGCAATACAGCCTAGTTATCTTTCTCATTCATTGATAGATTTAATGAATCAGGTATGTTTTTCTGATCTATATTTACTATCTTCCTTTGAAGGGCCAGGCCTAATTTTCACCCAAATAAAGATATTATTATTATTATTATTTGTCTAGTAGAAAATGACTCTTTGCATTGATCAGTTTCTTTCTTATGTGCATGAACTCTTATGTGATTCAACTTTATTGTGGATAAACATTGCAATTATAGGATTTTTCAGTAATACAAAAGCAGAGGACTGTTAAATGGTGCAAGGAACTATATTTGTTTTGTGTTGGACAAGACAACTAACAGTGATTTTTTTCGAACACTTGATACCACTCTGCAACTGGGTTGTCAGTTCCTTTCTGAAAGTCTGAAGACAGAGGAGGTGTTTTTGACTTGTATTGAGACGTTTGAACATCATTTCTTACAGATCAGTCCCGCCTTCAAGAAAAACTTTGCGTTGCTATTGAAGAAGAGATGCCAGAAACATCCATTTGAAAGAGTACCAGCACCATATCAGGTTAACTCTTGGATGGCACCACTACCTCAACATTCAATAGATTATATACGTGCTGAAGATGGTAAGATGATTAAATTTGCTTTATGAATGAAATGATGAAAAAATAACTTGAATGTTCATGAAGGTCCTTGACAACCAGTCACTGGACACTGGAAATTTTGTGAAAAATATGACTTGCCAATTTTGATTCTTGCTGGCAAACAGACTTTCATTGAGAGAGACCCTCTAAATATATGACATACATTGTGAAAATGAAACAAGTTTAAAGCAGAATTATAAAGTAATGACTGTATCTATTTTTGCAGCTTTTTCAACAAGACTAGGATATGAAGAACATATACCAGGTCAAACTAGAGACTGGAATGAAGAAATACAAATGACTAGAGAATTATCTTGTAAAAATCTACCAGATAGATTGATTAGAGAGAGAGCTATCTTTAAGGTAAATAGATAAACTTTCACTTGCTGACTGAGATTAGAACTCACAACCAACATTTATTCCATGTCACATGCAAATGTCAACAAATGCTAAGGCTAAAGAAGACTATGCTATAGTTCATCATCGAAATGTAATTAATATCATAGATTTGATGCTTGCTCACCTGAAAGTTATAAGTTCAATCCTGGCACAGATAGTAGGTTTTACCCAAATCCCTTTGTAAACCAGGCTGTGCACATAAAAATCATTACGAAGTGTGGGCCAATTTCGCTCATTGAATAAACATGGCACATAAACCATCAGATTAAATTGTGAATACTAAACTATATATATGATTTATATTTGTAGGTACACAGTGATTTTGTAGCTGCAGCTACAAGAGGTGCTCAAGCTGTAATAGATGGTAATGTGATGCCTATTAATCCTGGAGAAGATTCCAAGTGAGATATATTAGGAATAATCTATTTAGTTGTTGAATGACCAGCTTGTCAGTTCCTTATTAGATCTATTGTCTCTCCTTATGATATGGTTATAACCTTTGTTTTTGGTTTTTGTTAAGAGGCACAGGCTCATGTCAAATTTGTTATATGACCATAAATTTTTTTTTTTTGTATTTCAGAATGCAGATGTTCATATGGAATAATATCTTCTTTAGTTTAGGATTTGATGTAAAAGATCATTATAAAGATTTTGGTGGAGATGCTGCAGCTTACGTAGCACCTGTAAGTTGTCTTTGCAATTTGTTGGGTGACATTTGATTATCATTTCTGTGAATTCTGAAAAATAAGCAACTTCATGATAAAGACTTGATATTTCAGGGTAATGATTAACAAGGTGTTAAAGTTTATTTTGATATTTCAGGGAAATGATTAACAAGGTGTTTGATATTTCAGAGTAATGATTTACAAGGTGTTTGATATTTCAGGGTAATGATTTACAAGGTGTTTGATATTTCAGAGTAATGATTTACAAGGTGTTTGATATTTCAGAGTAATGATTTACAAGGTGTTAAAGCTTATTTTGATATTTCAGAGTAATGATTAACAAGGTGTTTGATATTTCAGAGTAATGATTTATAAGGTGTTAAAGCTTATTTTGATATTTCAGAGTAATGATTAGCAAGGCATTAAAGTTTATATTGATATTTCAGGGTAATGATTTACAAGGTGTTTGATATTTCAAAGTAATGATTTACAAGGTGTTAAAGCTTATTTTGATATTTCAGAGTAATGATTAACAAGGTGTTAAAGTTTATATTGATATTTCAGGGTAATGATTTACAAGGTGTTAAAGCGTATTTTGGTGCTGATCAAGAAGGATTATATACATTGGGTACTGTAGTAGTTGATTATAGAGGATATAGAGTAACAGCCCAGTCTATAATACCTGGTATATTGGAGAGAGAACAAGAACAATCTGTAGTCTATGGCTCAGTTGATTTTGGTAAAACTATTGTTACTCATGATAAATATAAAGATCTGGTAAGCATTGTACTTTTCAATCACATTTTTTAACTTTATTCGAGCTACCTTTATTACTATGGTGTGTTGATAGGGAGGTATATGTTAGATCTGAAACTTTGTCCATGGTTGTCACTTTCAATGAATTATGTTAATTATTCTGCTTCGTGCCCAGTCTTATGGATCTTATGTTATGAATTAAACCTCTAGTTCTAAATGTCCCAGCCACAAAATGAAACACGAAATTCAAATTATAATATTGGCATAAACTTTTCATATCAAATATATCGATCATAAATAAGGAAGTTTTTCATATGGAGAAAGAGTATCAACCAGATGAAGACCCATAGTTGAAGAACATTTCTGCCTGACAATTGTCAGTTTGCCAAGTGATAACAATGTAAAAATGTAATTTTAGCTTTCAAAAACAGCTGCACAATTGAAAATCCGCCCTCACAAGTAAGTTTAATTGTTTTTTGAACATCACAATTGTTAATTTAAAATATAAATGTAGATCTAGAATAGATGTGTTATGTCCTAATTTTTTTGAAAATGTGAATAATGATTTTGTTAAAGATCAATGATGACTTTAAAATTTAGTTTTCATTACTCTTCATTGTGTGTGGTGACTAGAAAGTTGCTCTCAATTGTACATCATTACTGAACTAATGATGATGCACAACCATTGTGCAATCAAAGCACATACTTCTATTTAAAATGGATATCTGAGACGTGAATCTTATTTAGATTTTTTTGAGTTTAGGTGTTGTGTGATATCTTAATGTAACATTGTACCAGTTGAACAGTTATAATGTTTTTGTTTTATTCAGAGTTATCAACAATAAAGATGAAGAAATAGAATTATTTTCTTCTATTGAGTGTAAGGTTAGTACTTTTTTATTTTTAAGATTTGTAATTGTATATAGAGTACGTTTAGAATTACAGATTTACAAGCTTAGTAATTTGGTGAAAAGGTTAAAATGTGTATTTAAAATGTTGTATTTAAAATGTTGTTTTTGTTGTTTTTAAAATGTTGTATTTAAAATGTTGTTGTTGTATTTAAAATGTTGTTGTTGTATTGCAGGGTATAATTGGTAATGATCAACGTCACTATATTCTAGATTTATTACGAACATTTCCTCCAGATGCCAACTACCTTAGAGGTAAGAATTGATCATGAATTAAATTGCTGGAAAACAAAATTGATAACTGAATTTACTCAACAACAAAGCTACTGATTATATGAAGTAGGCATCCCAGATGCTGATGATATTCAAATTTAGTCTAAAATAACCCATAATTGTACAAATATGTATATTCATGGTCATTTCTCTTGAATATAAAGTAGTACATACTTGTTTCAACCCTTTGTTTTATTCATTGACAGTGAAAGGTGAAGAATTGAGTAAAGAAATGAAAGAACATGGTTACCCTAAAAAACATCCACATAAATTAGCTTGTCTACGTCAAGAATTAGTGGATGCTTTTGTAGAGTAAGTACTGTATTGCATTTTCAAACAATCAAATTTGTCTTGCATAATATACCTGCACACAGAAGCTATCGCTTTAATGAGAAGTGCATGAATGAATACAGCCTCTGTGTGGGCCAGACTTAAGTAATATAATATTTCTAAAGTATGCTATTTATATCTATGTATCTGCTTGATCAAACTGAATTTGTTTTAAAAGAGTTAATTAAAAATGGAGAGTACTAATTGTTAATTAAGCAGTTTTGTACTTTATAATGACTAGATATTATTACTCAAAAACCCTTAGAATACATAAGAGTCATATTTCTCTACAATTGGGCGTTCAAATCCGTACAGTAGTTTTCTAACAGCTTACAAAAAACATAACGAACTTAAAAATCCTACATAATGGTTTTAAATATTTTTGGCGTTTAAAAATTAACTACTGGATTTCAGTTAAAACTTTCAGATACTTTTGGTGTATTCTGGTGTATATATTTCACAAATTTCAGCAAAAAAAAATTTTGACCTACAAAAAAAGCGGAATTTCCCTTTAAATATTTTGATGTTGATCAGTCAAGTTTGATGTGGTAAGTGTTTGCTATCTACACACTATTTAATTAGTTAATTATTTTCTAGGAACAGATATTTAGCCTTCGTCCGTCACGCAGCCTTCCAGTTTCAACAATTACAGTTGACTAAACAGAATCCTAGTAAATTATTAAATAAAGATATCAAACCTGTAGAGAAAGATATCAACTCCAATGATAATAAAGCAACTGAAGACAAGATTCCAGTAAGTTCCATATAGATTGTATTTTGGCTCTGTTGAAAGGCAATAGCACTCTGAAAATTTGCATCAATGCAAATACTGTTAGGAACTAAGGGATCCCTAACTATCTCTACTTAGACGTGGTATTTTTTTAATTTTTTAGAATAAAAGCACTAAAAATTGAGTTTTATTTGATAAAACGATTTCTATATAGGAAATGATAAAATCTCCTCTCGTACCCCACATGTAGTCTGTTGCCCCCTTGATTTTCTACTTCCTCTATTATTTTTTCCGTCTTCATTAGCCCACATGGTGAAGAAAAGTAAGACGTAAAACTCATTTCATTTCATTTTCTTTCTGTTATTTTTGTTCCTTACTAGTATCCCTGGCGACTCTAGTGAATTGGTAATCAAACTACTTCATGATGAAATGCCATTTTCTGACAAAAAATGCTTTGAATTCATTGTTTAACTAGCCTAGAGTAAATGAAAAAACTGGTGTGGTTAAGAACTGCTCTTACATTTGAGTTTTTTTGTTTTTTTTCTGCAGGATGGTGTAGAGAATGGTATAAAAGAGAAAATAATTGGTAATGATAATAAAGATACACAAGAAGAAATTGTTACTGAAGAAGCTAAAAAAATAGTTGAAACATTAACTGGTTCTGATAGTGCTACTTGTAAGTCACCAAGATTCTTAGATTAGTGAATAGATATTCAGAGATATCTAATGAATCTGTAGAGTTGTTGAATTATTGTGATCTTGTTCCATATATTTACCTGGGAGCCGCGGTGGCTCAGTGAGTTAGACGCTTGCTCGCTAACCTGAAGGTCCAGGGTTCAATCCCGGCATAGGTCGAGATAATTGAAAAAGAGTAGGCTAATGCCGCTGTCCTGGCAAAATTTCCCTTATTGTAACCTGCATGGCGTTGCCCGTCTTCATTAGCCCACATGGTGCAGAAAAGTAGGACGTAAAACACCATTCATTTCATTTCATTTTTTCCCTTATATTTACCTGTATTCTACAACTCGATGCAAGACACTGTCAAATGACTTTCAATAAGTCACCTTTCCTCATTTCATACAAACCAGCTGCAAGAGAGTTGTTGTCAAGTACCAGCAAATCCTGGAGAATGCAAAAGTTCAAAGGTCATGAATAAATCTATCATTGAAAAATTTCTTAAATTTGAAATTTGTAGTTGAAGAAAATACTAAAGATATAGTCAAGAAAGCTGCTACTGCAGTATGTTCATTATCAGATACAGAATTTAATGTTACATTTAATCCTGATGTATTTCAACCTCATGTTAAACATATTAATCCTCAGGTAAATATTGCTTTATTTTACATTATCTCAATGATACACCTTATACTGTAGCATGTCTTTTATAAGTCAGGTATGCAATAACAATGAAATTTTAGTTTTCAACGCTCATGAGGGTGCCGCGGTGGCTCAGTGAGTTAGACACTTGCTCGCTAACCTGAAGGTCCAGGGTTCAATCGCGGAATACGTCGAGATAATACCTTCGGATTTTTCAACCCGGTTTCCCCCCTGTCTTTGATGCAGGTAAGAGGGGCTGACATGGAAAAAGCATCTAGTCGTTCGGATGGGACAGTAAACCGAGGCCCTGTGTGCTACAGGCTGTCTACGTTAAAGATCCCTAGACATTTGGAAATTGAAATAGGGCTGGCTAATGGCGCTGTCCTGGCAAAATTTCCCTCATTGCACCCTACATGGCGTTGCCGGTTTTCATTAGCCCACATGAGATTGTGCACATTAGTTCAATAATAAATTGTATTTTGATTATATATTGCTCTCACTAATAGTTTCATTAGTACATTAGTTATTATATTCTTTCTTTATTGTAGGGTGAAACTTTGAAACGAGAAAAACAGATTGTGAAAGACGCTGCCGAATTCTTAGTGTTACATCAAATCCCTACAATGGTAAGTGACAAATATTTGTTAAATTTTTACTTTGAAATGTAATTAAGTATGTTTTGGTTCACTGGCCAATTTTTAATATCCAAATTTCTTTCCATTCCAAAAAAAAATTATCAGTCTAAAATTGAAGCTTTTTAAATTGAGATTTTTGGTGAGGGGCATATGAAATTTTAAAATTGTCTATTTGTAGGTGAATGATTGTTTAGATCACAGTTCATCACCTATAGATGGTACAACATTAACTGAAGCCATGCATAATAGGTAAGTATGCTCAGAGAGAGAGATGAGATTTTTTTTTACCCACCAATTGCACTTTCACAAACAAAGATTCATTCAAAATCAATTACCAATATTAGATTTCCCAGATGGTGGCCAAAAAATTTTCTTTTGTTTAGTTCATTTAATGTTTTCAGGTCTCCATTTGCTCCCCTAACCCTCTATTATATCTGTATATTGGTTCATATCAAAATTTTAACTACTCATAAGGAATCAATCTCTATGTATTTGCTATCTCACTATTTTATACCATTGTTCATATTCAGTCATTTTATCATTAATTTATATATTTTTCAGGGGTATTAATGTACGCTATCTAGGAAAAGTTACTGAATTTTTTGCCAAATATCAAAGTGTATCATATGTTTATGTAAGTTAAATTTATTCTTCATATGTGAAAAGCAAGAAAATTTATTTCAGTCAATAATGCACTAAGCAAACGTTATTAAACAATATTCTGAACCGGTCTCTCAACGTAGACAACAGTTCTACTTGATCAACTTCAGTTGGGATGCAGGCTGACATAGGTTTTGTCTGAAGATCGCATAGGGTAAAACATGTTTTTTTTAGGTTCTGTTTTAATATTTCTATACCACTCTACAATTGATGCATTGAGCACTATTTTGACAGTGAACATTTTTTATATTTATTTTTCAGACTATATGTGTAGGAGAATTAATCTGCAGATCTGCCAAACATATCTATAAAACATATATGCAGGGGGTAGATATGGCTAATCTATCTTCAGCTATAGCACATTTTCTAAACTGTTTACTTGGTAGTTATAATTCACCTACAGCACACATATCACCTGAAGATGTAAGTTTTGCTTCTTGTTAATTTAACCTAATTTGACTTAGTTTTAGTGTAGGGCTCCAATTTTTTTTTTTTAGTTGAAACCTTTGGAATAAGAAGACATATTTCTCTACTATTTGGCCTTTATTTCACTAAAATTGGTACATTAGTTTTAACTAGTTTTGGTTTTCTAAAATTTACTACAAGATACTAATACTTAAAAACTTTCAGATAAATAAAGAGATCAATTTCTCTAGATTTTGGTGTATAGTTTCATATGAGAAATATCAATTTATAATGCATTTATGGCAAGTTTTAAAAGTAATAGTGAAGTCATCAATAAGAACTTTATTTACAGATGCAAGCCAGAAGAGCTAGACGGAAGAAGAAATCCATTTATAGAGGACATGGTATCGCCGGTAAGATTTCTTCTTTATAACTAATTATATAGATCAATTATTTGATTTGTGGCAAACCAAAAGTCAAATTTTCATTCTGTAAAATGATGCAATGAAATCACAGCAGCAGAAAAAAAAAATGCATTTTTTGATTAATGTTGAAACTGTTTTTAATTTTTTTTAGAAGAAAATATAACCATGTATATTGTATGGAAAAAATATAATATTTTTGAATGAAATTTCTCCACTATATATGTATTGAATTTTATTTGCATATTGCAGCTGATAATACTGAATGGATGAATGAAACACCTAAGTCATTATGGAAGAAAATTATTGATGAAGCTCAAGATTATTATCATTATACTTTAGAATGGTATGTATAAACTATAAACAGAATGAAGTGGTGAAAGGTTGATAGCCAATATGAGAACTGACCTGCAAAATTTCCTTTTGTTTTATGAAACTTGTTTTTTACTCCAAAACCATATTCCGGTGTTGATATTGTTTATTGTCCATATCTCAGTGATATTCAGTGGTTCTTTTGTCTATATTTCAGTGATTCTATTGACTATATTTCAGTGATATTCAGTTATTCTATTGTCTATATTTCAGTGATATTCAGTTAATCTTTTGACTATATTTCAGTGATATTCAGTTATTCTATTGACTATATTTCAGTGATATTCGGTTATTCTATTGACTATATTTCAGTGATATTCAGTTATTCTATTGACTATATTTCAGTGATATTCAGTTATGCTATTGTCTATATTTCAGTGATTCTATTGTCTATATTTCAGTGATATTCGGTTATTCTATTGACTATATTTCAGTGATATTCAGTTATTCTATTGTCTATATTTCAGTGATATTCAGTTATTCTATTGACTATATTTCAGTGATATTCAGTTATTCTATTGACTATATTTCAGTGATATTCAGTTATTCTATTGACTATATTTCAGTGATATTCAGTTATTCTATTGTCTATATTTCAGTGATTCTATTGTCTATATTTCAGTGATATTCGGTTATTCTATTGACTATATTTCAGTGATATTCAGTTATTCTATTGTCTATATTTCAGTGATATTCGGTTATTCTATTGACTATATTTCAGTGATATTCAGTTATTCTATTGACTATATTTCAGTGATATTCAGTTATTCTATTGTCTATATTTCAGTGATATTCAGTTATTCTATTGACTATATTTCAGTGATATTCAGTCATTCTATTGACTATATTTCAGTGATATTCAGTTATTCTATTGACTATATTTCAGTTATATTAAGTTATTCTATTGTCTATATTTCAGTGATGCTATTGTCTAGATTTCAGTGATTTTCTTAGATTTTATTGTCTAAATTTCAGTGATTCCATTGACCAGATTTCAGTGATATTCAGATTTTACTGTCTAAATTTCCATGATTCTCTTGTCTAAATTTCAGAGATATTCAGTGATAATATTTTCTATACTTCTGTGATTCTATTGTCTGTATTTCAGTGATTTTATTGTCTACATTTCAGTGTTCTATTGTCTAAATTTCAATGATATTCAGTGATATTATTGTCTATATTTCAGTGATTTTATTGTCTATGTTTTAGTAATATTCAGTGATTTTATTGTCAATATT